CGCATCTTCGCAGTGTGTTCCTTCGCCCAGACCTCGCTCGATTCTGTCGAGCGCGCAGGCACTTACCTGGCTTTTAACTCTCAGTCCCTTGTAGCGCGACAGTCTTGCGCATTGGATACGATGTGCACGCTGGGATACACGGCTGGGCACGTGCCTGCAAGATCCTGCAAGAAGCCAAAGCTCCACCATCAGCGCTGATGGGGATCCGCAAAAAACTGTCCAGATTGACGGGTAGCGGTCACACGTGCGGGCTGCCTTGGCATGACAAGCGACGCCAGTCAAGCGAACACCCCTACCACCGCCCGAATCTAGTCAAGCCCCTTAACAGGGATTCACCTGTCATAGCGAACTTCTGAAGTGTGCATGGTTGTGCTCTACTTCACATTGCACATGCCCGGCGCAGCTGACACGAAGGATCAAACTCAAGCAACCTGCTTTCAATGCTGCCAGGTCAACTTTGGCAATCACTCCCAGGATCACTATGTAGTCGCACTGCTAGCGCTGCTTCCGAACTTGTGCTAATGATTGCTCATGCTCGGTCTTGCAGTATGTCGTTCCGGCAACACTCAATCCTCCTCCGGCAGTCTGAGAATCTGAAGCCTATAGAATCACGGCCTTTACCTCCAGTCAGTCGGAAAGGCTGGGAGTAGTCCCGACTGGCTGGGAAACGTCGCCAGATGAACCTCAGATAGCGCAGGGATGCCCATTCTTGACAAAGCGGCGCTAACCGAAGATAGTGGAGCAAATGGAACCGCTTCCGACTTCCACATGTGCCCAGCTGACAACAAACTCCTGATTCGCATGTTTTTGCCGCTCACGCCCGGCACGCCCAGGCGAAGTCAGCAGAAGTCCAACGTACATCCAACCAGGCAGACAGGGGCCACGTTGGACCAAACTGCGGCTGAATCTAAGCTGTCGGTATTCCTAGACGTTCCGTGGCAAGGCAGCGGCTGGGAGCTGGAAGCTTAGGAACTACCCGTGATCCTTCTCAGGTGAGCTTGAAGTCTCGGAGTGCGATGAAGTCCAGAAAGAGCCATCGGCGCTCTGCTGGGTGTAGTGCGGCTTTTTCGGCCTGAGGACTATGCAAACCACGAAGGGGGGCACCTCCAGATCTCTCTGCAAGGATAGCAAAGCACCACCCGTTTCCTCTCCCTGCACAGTGTCCCGCTTCCGCCGAGGCCAGTATCGCCAGCCCAGCAGACCGGGGATTATGGGAATCAAGTCTTGGGTCGTCTTGTACACCTCCTTCTGCATGTGCTCATCGGGGCGTCGCACGAAAGCCTCCAGTCGCTGTGGACCCAGATGGTATCGCTGAGCAACTGCATCATCTTCTCGGCGAGGCCGCAAGAGGAAGTTGACCATGGGCAGCATTGCGGCCATGGTCTTGAGCGTGTGAAGAGGCAGTACAGAAAAAAGATGTGTCGATGGACCTGCCGAGAAACACAGCTGCATGACAGCCAACGACTGCACACAAACCTCCAAGATCTCCGATCGCCGCATGCTCTCGAGCTCGCGCTCATCGAACTCGGTTTCAGGAGGGCCGTCAGCAATGGAAGGCTCCGAGATCTTCTCCCACCACGGGGTTGAAGTCGGAGCCGCTCGATGCTGCCCCGGCTCTGGCATTTCAGCGTCATCCAACGGAAGCTGGAGCTGCCTCTCTCCCAGGAGAACCTGATCTTCGGCCGGGATCACCGCTGGAGGCGGCAACGGCCCTCCGATGCTCTCCAAGGGAGCCGGCTCCCCTAAAAGTGCCGGAATGAGTGAAGCACCTGGAAGCTCTGATAAAGCGTTTGATCCGTCACGGAGACGCCCGAGAAGAGTGGGCAACACCTCCGAGAGAATCGCCGCTGCTACCTGTAGAAACTGCCCCGGCAGCTCTCGCTGCTGAGAGCGGCGGCCGCGTACGGGCAGGGCCCAGAGTGCCTGGCATTTCCCACTGCCTTGCAGCAGTTTCTGAGGTGCCTCCTCCCCAGCAAGATAGAGGTGCTTTGCACTGCGCTTCAGTGGCATTTCTGGTCTCGCGACGGTCTGTCGCAAACCAGGATCCTTGTATGTACGGGCTGCACGAAGGATCACCTGCAGCTGCGACGCAGGCTGCTCGGAGCGGAACTGTGTACGCCGTCGCTGCGCGCTGGAAGCACCTGCTTGGCAGGAGCAACCCTGGCATCCAAACGTGAAGGCCTTGGCCAAGGATGTATCAGCCGCAAGAGTCAATGCCAAAGCTGCATCTGAACAGGCACGAGGGCCCCACTCACGCGCAGCGGCTGCCAGACTCCGGGGGAGCCCTCGCGCCGCTCGGGTGCCAAGAACGCGTCGGAGAAGATCCGGATGCCAGCCACACACTTCGAAGAACTCCTTCAAGTCCTTGTTGGTCATGTCGGGCAGAAGTGCAGTGTATCTGCAGCCAAGCATGATCTGCGTGGGAGCAGGTACGCGGACTGGAGCCAAGCCGAGGCTCCTCAGGAGGCCGCTGAGTTGCTCTGGACCCCAGGCAGCGAGAACTTCAGGCTCTTCTCTGATGTGGATAATGATCTCTCGCAGCAATCCGGTGTGGTAATGCTGAACCTTGGACATTGATGCAGCAAGCCGGGCGATCCCATCTTCAGGCAGCTCTGTGAAAGACCGCTCCAGCAACAATCGCAGAAAGAGCGTCTGCAGAGCGACTTCGTGGACGCTTCCGATGTCGGTGAAGGTCTCAATGACCCGAAGTGCCTGCACGGGGCTCAGGAGCTCTGCGTGCTCTGAGATGCGCCGGCCGAGGCTGTGGAAAGCCTTCTTGTGAAGCTCGCCGAGTTTCCAAATTTGGAAGTGCGGCAAGAGATCTTGCAACTCGCCAGGCGTGAAGCACCAGGGATTAGCTGCGAGATGCTGGGCGATCTCTTCGCTCAGCTCGGGAGAGTAGAGGCCTGCTTCTGCCAAATGCCGACCGCACTGTGCCAGCGAGCAGGCATCCATTTGCGACGAGGCTTCTTGCAGCCGCATGAGCAAAAAGCTGCGCACAGCTGGGTCTCGGAATGCCTGCGGCCCAAGCAGGGAGAGCGACTCTATCAGCTGGAGCACCTCCACAGGCGAAATGCTCAGATTTGGTGCTGCGCTGAGGCAAACCAGTCCCAGGACCTTGATGCCCTCATGACAGCGAGTGCGGGCAAAGGCGTCTGCAAGGACCACAGCCGATGTACCTGTAGCCAACATAGGCTCTTCTTCCTCGTCACGGCTCAGCGAGACTGGCAAGGCGAGCGGTCGCTCCGCTGCGGCCTGACGCAGTGGAGCCTCCAGGCAGGACGCTACCTCCTCGAAGAATCTCCGCGGCGGTGGCGGCGCGTGACGCGCAAAGCGTAAAGCCAAAGAGGCAGCATCCTCGAACTTAAAGATGCCGACCCTCACGCCTCCCAGGCATCCGCCTCCTCCTGCCGATGGAGCCTGGCACCGCACGCTGCGGAGGCCCTCGAGGAAGCGCGAGGCCGCCTGAGAGGAGTCACCGCCGCACCGAAGGAGTCGAGCCACCTCCAGCGCCTTCATATGCCTTCATGCTCTGTGCAGGAAGCTGCAAAGGAGCATCCGTTACATCGGGCGCTTCTGCGAAGCGGCAACCGAGCACAACAAGACAAAGGCATCTATCAGAGCTATCTACTCCGCCTTGGTTGCTCTAAGAATTCTTGGGGCGCATGTCGATGTCTGCGAAAAATTGCTTCCTGCATAACTCTACCAGAAGTTGGACGCAGGCTTTCCTGGGTTCTGGTGCCTGCAGGGTGGTGCATGGATCCGAGTTAGGAACATCTAAATGTTGCCTCAGGCTTGGGACTAAAGCAATCGGATGGCTTGAGCCGATCCACCTTGCAAATGCCCTGGCCCCACGTGCTCTGAGTCTGCTTCTGTTTGCCGATGTCTCGGTTATGACTGGCATGCCAACCATCATTCAGGTTTCGGCGCTCACACATCATTCAGGTTTAAGGTTTACAAATACCGCCTTCATGACTTGGCTACCGCCACTGCTCCTAGTGCCTTTTCTGCGGGAAGACCGCTACAGCAAGATCCCGACACCAGATCTTCTGAGTGGCGCAGGCCCTGGAACGAGATATCCACATCAGCCAAACAAGGTCGACCTGCACTGCACATGAGGATTCCATGTTGCGTTTTCTGCCGGAAGTGCATCGATGTCAGGATCAAACGACATCACCACACTTACACTATCCTCGCATCCTATGACTCTCCATCCTCTCCCTGGTCATGATGCATGCCAATTGCACAGCTAACCAAGCTTGGTGGCTCACAATAGACAGGGCTCCACCGTCCCTTCGAAGACCCGCACACCGAGGAGCCTGTACCATGCCGCAACGGCAACCTGCGATGTGGGCGCTGGTTGTTCCACCTTGGGTGGACATTGGATCGACACTAACAAAAGTGATGCTCGGGCATGCTATGGCTTGGATACATGGAGGGATCACCCAATCAGGCGTCCAGATTTGGCAGGAGGAGAACCAACGTGCATAAACGCTCGTGCCTTGTAAACTCTGATATGCTTAGCGAGGTTGCGTAACATGGACAGGTGCCTTTTCATCGTTATACACTGCCATGTATCAATGTATGCTGCACTATGCCACACTGGCACTGACCCAAAACCACACTCCCCATAAGTTGGCATTGCACCAAACATTGGCACACTTTACAGGGACGATGCGTATGCAGCAGCATGGGGATCATGTCATGTTATCGCGGAATTCCCCCACAGCCTAAGGAAGTTTTCCCTACAAGTAGGTCCGGTAGGCACCCGCAGAACTGCAGAACGTTAGGGAATGTTAGGGATCACGAGGATATTTCGAAACAGTCGTGGTCAATGCAAGGCGCACGGCATGACCCGTGGCCTCCAGCTCCTGAGCAAAGCTGGACACGACTCACCATACTTGGTGCGCAGGCTGAGTCTCAGTAGGGCTTGCAAGACGTGGCCAAGAAATGATCAGAGCCCTCTTGCCAACCCGATCAGAAAGCGAACAGCGAAACTTTTAAAGACTGCCATGACGAGATTTGACTCGTCTGGCCATTGAGAGCCAATTTCCCGCTGGCTCGCCGTGCTCGCTATTTCCGGTAGGCTGCAGGACACTTCTGCCGAAGCTGCACGCAATATTGCTAGACCGCCAGCAACAGTAGCAGCAACAACCCCGCCAATCCAAGTACACCAACTGAGAAAAAACGATGCTAGCGTCATGCCATGAAACCAGTACTTCAACACGAGCAAGGAAGCAAAGACGATAACTACCCTGAATTGCACTGCTACATAATGCAACTGTACTACTTGTAATTGCCAAAACCAATCGCTGGCCCGCCTTGTGAAGCTCGAGGCTGGAAGAGCCTAGGACTTTGTCGTGACCTGACCCCCGGCGAATCAGACTGAGGGCAAGTGCCGACGCATGGAAACGCAGACTCTTCGTCCCCGCATCGGCAGCGCTGCTACGAAGGCAACGGTTCGTAGCATCTGGGGATAAGGATATCTGGGGGTTCGACCGTCCAGCAACTCGAGCTCCAAAGTTCCGGAATCCTGCAAGGCTCCGAAGGCATAGGCAGCTAGGACAGGGACTTCGACCTTCCTCTGATGACTAGCAGTAACAGTAACAGCACTGTGCTCCAGATCCGTTTTGTGAATGAGCATGTAGAGCACATTCTCGATGTCCAACTCAATCGTTCGAGGGTCCTCTCCAAAGTGCTGGCAGTGGTCTGGGGACCTAGACGCCTTCATTCCCGCCTGCTGAGTCGGGTCTCGCTTAAACCACGCCACCTCGGGCGTCGACTTCTTAACCTCGCCAGGGAGCCACGCTAACATCTGCTGCCCAAAACGGAATTCCGGATCGAAGATGTCATGGCCTTTCCAATGCTGGCACACATGCGAACTCGAAGGGGATCCAGTTCACTGGTGCTGCGCAGATCGACCAACTGCGTAGGAACCTCCACTTCCTTGGGTGGTGACTTGCAGAAGCACCGCATGTGAACCATCATGGCATCACCATATTGCGAACCCACTGAGACTACGGGGAGTTCTGGCCAAGGCGCATCGAACTTCACACGCAGCACGCAAAAGCCGTCAGGACCCTTGCGCCCATGCCTGGCGGCCACGCACTCCTTCATCAGCCCCTTCACCAAAGAACACTTTCGCATGCTGCAACATGGGCAAAGCTTCACAGGATCTCCATACCTGTCACCCATGCCACCTTCACAGGCATGCACAGGCGCAGTCCACACATGAAGCCACCCTATCGGAGGCCTGACGAAGTTCAACCAGTCCAAGCGAAGCTCCACATTTCCGGCCGGATGACGTGGATGAGAGGCAGCCTTCAAACTTCCCCAATTCCCCGGTCATAACTCTCTGCTTCCTTGAGCTAATAAGCGTCCTGGACTTAGACAGCAGGCTGGCACTGGAGCGTTGGCATTTCCAAACTACGCCCTGGCTCTTAGTCAGCACCCACAGGACGATTGAAGCCTTCGGTGTGTTTGAGCTCTCCGGGCAGTCGAACAGAGCAAGGGGGATTTCCGAGTGCGCTTCCTCGGCAGCTCTCGACGGGTTTCGGCACTCACATGTTTAGGGACAAGGTTGGACGAGGCAGCACACTCGCAACTCCAAGTGGAGCTGCTCGGTTTGGGGGTTGAGAGTATGCTCAGCATGAGCAAGGCCTTGTGAAGGTGCATCTCTTACCTTGCTTGATCAGGTGCTGTGTCCGTCGCCAAGATGGGGTCAGCGTAGCCAATGACCTAAGCAGAGGAGTTGACGCCAGGAGGGCAGATCATGAGATTCAATGATGAGATTCAAGCAACTCCACTCAGGAGCTGTTCACGAGCCAGGCCACTTTGCGCAGAAAAAGTGAGTTCGTATCAACGATTTCAATGCCCAGGGTTTGGCGCTTGTCATATACCTGACAACATCAGGACGAGGAGTGCGGAAGCACAGGGATTGCATGTACCAGTATATAGCAAAAAGGCACATCTCTGTCCATGCACCGTCGATGGAGACACGAGTCTGTGGTTGGAATGCTGCCTGGTTTGACTTCACGGCTCCCTGGCAAATAGTCTACGGCTGCCATAACCAGCACCACAAAGACATACCTGTGTTTCCACCCTATATCAACTGCTGACTCAAGAAGGCACCCCCCCACAAGAGTTGGAACCTCGTAGGCTGTAACAAGCGATGCTGGCCCTATTCCGAGCGAGCGCACATTTCAGTGGCCTGCAGTTCATTGTCAGTGTGACTTTGGCTTTAACTCCCGCTACGGTGGATGCAGTATTGTTTGAAACCCGCACATGCCGAGCAACAAGGAAATCATGGGTCTCATCCCACTCAGGGTTCAAGCTTGACCACCTCAGAATACTCAGACATATCACGATTGTCGGGGCCATTGCACAGGCTTCAAAAAAAGCGGCAAACATGTTCAACCCCTTGCCTGCTGGGCACTGTCTTCAAACTATTCGGGAAATGCCGGTGCAGCTATCCTACCTACCGAATATCTCGACAAATGCAGTCGAGAAACACTGCTGAAGTTTGCCATTCCTCGCCCGCAAGAGACAAACTCAGGTAGGGACCTCAGCATAGACAATCGCTTCGTTCAGTAATTGCAGTACAGATTTCGACAAACGAACAGTGACGTATCGGTGCGAATGGCCTTGTGATTACCATTGTTCGCAGCTATGCAAGATACCATAGACTCCCCACAGTCTCAGCAATGGGTGCCCCTCACGTAATGCCTCTGCATTTTGCATTCGATGAAGCTGATGCTCATGATGCGCGCCCCATTGCGGCACAACGGCCCCCAGATTTGAGAATTTGTATGCTATATAATATGGATTTGTTACTTTGTCACGCACATGCACCTACCTGTTACATAGCAACATGATTTGCCAGTAGCACGAGTTGTTGCATCTAGCAAACTCCGATACTGAAACAACCGCTTGATATTGAAGTGTATATATATATATATATGTACATCTTGGTCGCCGGCTTCTAGAGCGTTTCAGAGGCCAACCTTCACGGAGGTTGGTGGCACGCACGGCAGTGACACGAAGCACACCTGCGCGATGATCTGGTTTTTGGCGAAATAAACTCAACAGGACAGGATACACTGCTTGCACTCTGTCGTGTTGTCAGACTGAAGCCAGGAGCTGTGCTGCTCACACGCAGATTTGCAACGACTGTCGCGAAAAACAAAAGAAGAGGTTACAAAATAATGCCAGCGCCAGCACGAGCAAAGCTTCTCGACAGATCCCCTTCAAGGGTACCATCACTCCCGCGTCAGGCATTACTTACATCACACCGCACATCGATTTCGTTTCACGCCCTCGCAGCCTATGGGTTTCGGATGCGCCAGAAGAGCTCTGTCCACGGCCTGCCCCTCCGTGCCAATTGGGACGGAAAACCTGCAAAGACTTGGCTGTGCAGGCCAAGTGCGAAATCTTTTGAGGATGGAAGTGCGAGCATTGCCCAAGGACTACATGGATAACACCTCCAAAAGTTGCAATTGGGTGCGAGCTTCATACAGGCTTCAAGATGCTCGCAAGCCGGGCGTGAACGATTCCGGCCAACATCAGCTGACAAGCCAAATTGCTGTTTCCCTACAGTAGCAAGACCAACGGGTCGCGAAGCCAAGTAGCACGTGGGGCAGCACTAGGGCACTTGCCAACCCCACGTCCACCATCTTCTGGAAACGGTTGGCCAGCATCGTGCTCTCAACACCTGCGCCAATGGGTTCCATGCCCGGTCGTGCGGCTGCAGCGTGCCCAGCGCATGCGGGGGTGTCGACACTCAAGCTCAGCACGTGGCTCACGCTTGTGCAATCTTGTGGCTGGGGCCCACGCAGTGCGCAACACCGCAGTACTGCAACTCCAGGTCTGGTGGGTTCAGGAAGCATGCCACCTTGGCCAGTTGTCATTGCCCCGGCACAAGCCATGCGATTCAAGCTACACGAATCTGCTGCTTGCTGGCCGGGGATCGATGCCACCGAGAACGGGCACCTCTTCCAGCAGCGGACCCAAGCGAACCAGCAATTGACCCTGCACTCGGATCCGATCGATACCCAAGTTGGCGCCATGCCTTCGACTTGACATGAGAACTGACAAAAAAAGACGCTGCTGATCCGTCCAACTCAGGCTCCGCTTTTCAGGAAGACTAACCGTCACTTCGGCTTCGGGGCAAGCCACACGCTCAGCTCCATGTGTGCATTGGTGTCCAGCTGAAAGCCCACCTCCGTGGCCGCATGTCCATGTGCTAAAGGCCAAAAAGTGCGGACTGGTCCAGCCTGCATCTCGATGCCTGCACTTCGATGGCCACGCAGGGTCTCCGCTACCTCAGAGAGCAAGTGTTGAAAGTTTATCGTGGGTTCGAGCCGACGCCCGACTGGCTTCCCAGGCACTGTGATCGGTCCGAAGGCAGGTGGAGTATCACCCAGGCGGAAATACTTGAAGTGGATGTCCTGCTGGCTTCGGGGCTTCGGCTTCAAGAGGTTGCTCCCCACTCTTCAAGCTCTCTGCTCTTTTCACATCGACACGGACGAGGTCCTTCAAGGGGCCTGGCAAGCGAGCCTGCAGCATCTGCGTGATCAGTCCAAAGCGGTCTTCCATCATCCGTGCGATGATCACAGAAATCTTCGGGTGAAGCTTGCCTCGGCCCGGGCGAGCCAGAGGGTCTTGCGTTCAGCGTATGACCTCCGCTGACCTGGACCCCCACAATCGTCCAAGCAGCCATAGATGAAATTGACCCACTGCAAGGAGAAGGACCGATCAACCAGGGCAACGCTCTCCTCTCCTTCGTCTTGTGAGGTCTCGGTGTCCGAAGACGCATCCTGAGTTGTAACGTTGGAACTGCCCTGCGCACCCTTGCTCTCTTTCTCTTGCTTGCTTGCATGGGGTGTCGGGCCTCGAAAGACCCTTTCCCCAAGCAACTTTGCAAGGTCGAGCCGAACCAATGCAGCTCAAAAACATCTGCGGTAACCTTGATCGCCAGCCGCTTTATGGCATCCTTGTGCTTCACCCTGTGAAGTCCCATGAGACGCACCTGGACCTGGGCAGTTCCGCTAGCGAGCTGGGATCTCCAGAAACCCTAGCGGCCTCTGCGGAGATTCGCTGGTCGCTTTGATCCTCCATGTGCATGTTGCACCTCAGTAGCACCATCTAGGAGGGTTCTGAGTCGAAGGGGCGCGCTCCTCTCCTCCCCGTTCACATCCCACTCCATCCATCCATCCATCCATACATCCATCCATGCATCCATCCACCCATACATACATACATGCATATACGCATGCATGTAAACAAAATGGAAAACATAAGCATAAATGTATATATGTGTGTGTATGTATGTATGTATGTATGTATGTGAATATAGATAAATACAAGCATACATGCAAATATGTGTGTATGTATATACATACATACATTGAAAGTCTCCTCTAACACGTTTTCTTTACAGGATTGTGGGCTCAATTCACCTCACCATCGGCTTCAATTTTATCCGTGTCTGGGTTCAGTGTAACCGCGCCTGGGTTCAATTTTGCCTCACCGTCGGCTTCAATTTCACCTGTACCTGAGGCTCAATTTAACCTCACGTTCGGGTTGAAATTTACACCTGCCTTGGGTCAAACTACCGTCAGGGCCGCAGGGCTTCGGCTTGCTTTGGCACTGCATCGAAACCCCAAACCAAATAAAATTGAGCACCCCTGGAGGCTAAATCTAAGCCCCCAAGCAATTAAATTAACACCCAGGTAAAATTGAACACCCCTGGAGGTTAAATCGAAGCCCCAAACCGAGTAAAGTGAACCCCGGGCCCACAGACAAGGTCGGCCATCGAAACGTGGTACAGGCAACTACCAATACATACACATACATACGCCCAAAAGAGGGCCGGGGCGCGGCTCGAAGGAGATGGCGCGCATGGGCGCTCGCACCAGGTGATGCAGTTGGAAGGCATGCCGCGCCATCACTTGGCCTATGGGACTTCTGCCTCCTACCGAGCCTATGGGACTTAGTAACTGCGGCTACAAATGGGGAAACTCTATCCAAACGTGGACTGAAACCCGACAACCAGAAAAGCTTTCATTCGGAATTAGGCCTAGGCTCACCGGCTCACCCAAGAGCAAGGCCCCGCCTTTGTCATTCAAAGCCGCGATCTCCAAGCTTTGTGTTTCCAGGGCTAACCTGGAGACTGGCATTCGAAGGATCGTCTCGATCTCCCCCTTGGCCTCCTGGAGTTCTCACGCATACAGGATCTACAGCTATTGCTGCTAGGGGCTGGGAAGTCAGGCGATCATAAAAAGCCACAAGGCCCTTCTTTTGCGCACATAGATTTCTGCGAAGCCATCTCTGGGCCATCATGGCAGGTCAGGCCTCAGGCCATGACCGCCAGCATTTCAACGGGGTTCAACGATTCCGAGCGCCTGCCGCAATCTGGGAAGACGTCTCACGCCACGACACTCGGAGCAACATATGGACACGGCAAGCCTGGTGGATATGCGGGGCTGAAGGTGCCATCCATGCAACAGCTTGACGTACAGCTCTCAGCCGGTGCATGCGGTGGAGCTGCGTGGTACCAAGACGCAGAGAACACTGCCGATCCCGGTTGTAAATAGACCTCGGCACAAGGCTTCGCAGCCGGCGAGGGCCCTTTGTAAACAAGCTCGACCGGCTTGGTGGGGAAGAGCTTCCCCTTGCATTCATCAATCGCTGCCGACAGCTCGTCTCTGGGTTTGCTCAAAGCGGAGATGTAGCATTCGATCCTCTGAACAATCCTCCACTCTGCCTTTGCTGCCACCTCTGTCTGCTTTGCCAGGCTGTCAATGTCTTCATAGATTTCCACCTTTTCGGAGTAGCACTCCGCGAACTTGCTGCAAGTGTAGGTCCTGTGTAACTCACAAGCTCTCTGCTCAAAGAATGCCTGCTTCTTGGAACAGTCAAGACGGGTGTCCCAGTAATGGCACATCATCTGCTTGCACAGCTCCATATCAGCGAAGGGTGTGGCGGAGGCATTTTGGCATTTCAGCCGCTTGTCTACTACTGCCTCATACTCGCCCTTGAAGTGTGCAGCCATGCCCTTCAAGTAATTGCCAATGGTTGGAACTGGCGTGCCCTGCTGCATGACACAGGTGCTCGTCGGACTTGGAAGCTGCTGAGCCTGCATGTAGACGTTGCAGAGAGCTTGAATCCGATCCACATAGATCTGCCAGCCCACAACGCAGGTCGTCTGAAAGTTGGCATAAAGGTCGGCCTCCGTCTGCCGACACTGGATGTGCTTCGCATCCAGATCTGCTAGCTCCTCCACAAACTTGGTGTCATTGGGGTGGTTGCAGCTAGTCAAGTTCGCCCAAGCCTGATCGACATCGATCTGGGTCTGGTTCATGCGCAGCAGGATGTTCTTCTTCATGCTGTTGTCGATTAGCTGCTGTATCTCCTTGAGAAAGGCCGTCAAGTTTGTTGCAGCCGAGTCGCTGCGCTCCGACTGTAGCTTGGCCATATTCAGGACAGATGCTTCCATGTTCGCCAGTGTGGCCTTCTCGGGTGCCATGGCCTTCATTCGAGCTGACATCCTCAGCTCGGCAGACGTCATCTTTGCCCTCCGCAGCCGAAGTGTGGCTGCGTCAAGGCGCAGGGCCAAGAACGCAAAGAGGAGGCTCGAAAGCCAAGTCTGCATCTTCATTTTGCTTTCGGACTCGTCCGAGCACGGGAGCTGCAGTTCCCAGCTCCCGAGACATTCTCGAGCCACTGGGCTACAGCACACCTCGTGAGGGCTCCTCTATGCATAAGGGTGAGTATCCAGCTAACGAGAGTCCCGTCGTGCCGGTCCATGTGATGTTTTGATGGGCAGTTGATCTACGACATACACCGATAAAGCTCTTTACACGTGTACAAATATAGATATAGATATCGATGTGAAACATGGCTTTGGGTACAGGTGTATACGTTGGTGGCACTCGGGACTGGAAAGAATGAAGCAGCAATTGCTCTCGGACTTCAGCCCCCACGTCCTGGAAGATGCTCATGGTGCGTGAAATGGATTGTCTCGTCTTTCCATCTTGCTCAGCTGCCTGAAGGACTCGATGCAGCTGGCAGATTCATCTGGCTTCGTGGAAGCATCTGAAAACACAAAAAACGCCCTTTTCCACAAACTGCGGGCGAGGGGCCGCGGCCTCTCCCCCTTTCAACCGCACCAAGGGTGTCCGCAACTGCTCCTCACCCACTCGCACGGACAATGCGATCTGATCCATTTTGACAGTCTCCGGCACGAAGACCTCCATGGCGAATCACTTGTAACAGCGGTGGGGGGGGCCCGGCCAGGAAGCACAGCAAAAAAGCTTCTGCACTGCAAAAGTTCACGGCCTCGTCAATATGGAACTGTAGCAAACCTTCATCGTAGTCCACCTAAAGCATGCAACTGCTGGGGCACTCATCGACTCGTCTCCTTCTTAGCATTATTAATAGCAGGAGTTTTTGTCACTTGCATGGCACGCCGATAGTAACAGGAGTAGTGGTGGTAGTAGTAGTAGTAGTAGTAGTAGTAGTAGTAGCAGCAGCAGCAACAGCAGCAGAGTAGCAGTAGCAGTGGCAGTAGTAGAAGTAGTGCAAGTACTAGTGGTAGTCGTAGTCGCAGTCGTAGTAGTCGTACTAGTAGTCGTAGCAGTAGCAGTGGTAGTAGTACAGTGTGTGGGAAAAGAGGTCCGATATCCGACCAAGAACATGCAGTCAATCTTGCTAATCTTGGTCTGCAAGATTTTTGGGAAGGGGGCAAGATTGCAGGCAAGCTTGCTTCGCTCCGAAAAAAGGGGGCAAGATTTCACGGTACAATCTTGCCAATCTTGCTCTAGTATTACCGGGGGGGTGGGGGGGACCGCAATATTGAAATCTTGCAATCTTGCACCGCTTGGATTGCTTGGAGCACTTGTACCGCTTGCGCCACTTGAATCACTTGGGTCACTTGCACCATTTCTTTCGTGAAATGATGCAAGTGGCGCAAGTGTTCAAGTGGTGCAAGGATGCAAGAATTCAAGATTCGCCCCTCCCCCCATCGTGCACACTAGCAAGATTGCAAAATGAGCAAACTTCCTGCAATCTCGCGCCGCCAAACCGGCAAGCAAGATAACAAGATTAGCAAAATCTTGGCCCATTGGCGACCCCCCAAGATTGGCAAGATTGACCAAGATGGGCAACATTTTGGTCCCAAAAAGGCGTGCTTCGCTTCTCAATGTAGTAGTACGAGGAGGAGGAGGAGCAGGAGGAGAGGGAGTAGTAGTAGTAGTAGTAGTAGTAGCAGCAGTAGAAGTAGTAGTCGTCGTCGTCGTATTCGTCGTCGTAGTCGTAGTATTGTTGATACTGTTGGTTATTGTTATTGTTATTATTGTGCTTATTTGTATTTCTTAAAACTACCATGATAATTGTTAGCCACTACTCTCGATGCAGTTCCCCCCCCCCTTAATTTTATTCTATTCCCCCTACCCCCCCCCCCCCCCTAAATTTTATTATATTCCCCCTACCCCCCCCCCCCCTGAATTTTATTATATTCCCCCTACCCCCCCCCCCTAAATTTTATTATATTCCCCCTAAAAGCCGAGCTGCTGAGTGTGGAATGATCCTCAGCACCGGATTTTTGAGCTAAGGGGTTTACGCTCTCGCAACTCCGAACTCAGCCAGACGAGGTTTCTCGGTTCGCGAACACCCGAAAGGGGCTTTCCCTCCTACCTGGCAGGGACGGGCCCAGAAGGGGTTAGGGTTTAGGGCTAACTTGGGAACCAAGGCCGCGCAACAAGATTGGGCCACATTTGCTTCTGCCAAGACACTCCAGCCACTCGATGTGAAGTGTGACTGCACCGAGGGAAACCTGCTTCTCTCCATAGACATGCTGCAGACTAAATTGGCCCTAGTGGTTGACACAATTGGGAGCATCACTCCGTCAAGGGCTTCTCCCTTCCAGATACTGTGCGTCCACAAGTCGTGGAGAAGTTGTGCAGTGGAACAGCCCCAAACGGCGTCTCAACGCCGAAAAGGAATAGCTTTCGATCGCGTGGCTCCGTGGACGGGTGGAATTGCAAATCAAAATTATCTATTTGTTATTAATTAGTTATTATTCTTATTCTTATTGTTATTGTTATTAGTTTATTCTTATTTTTCTTACAAACCGAGGCCGGCCTCTGTGTTGTTCGGCAGTTCGTGGAGATTCATCTGCACAGAGCCGTTGCAGACCCCTGCACGTTCCGCGAAGTTAGGACACCCTGCAAACACCAAGTATCCGTTTGCATCCCCACATATTATATTGTATTATGTTTTGCTATATTACATTATACGATATTATAGAACATCATCTAGTATCGCATTCTATTGGATTACATTTTATAGCAAGCAGGCCATGGCGGGCACTTGTGCAGTAGAGCATCCCGAGAGTGCATCGCTAAAACGTGGATGACTTGCGAAGCATGGTCCTGCAGCCCCGGCTGCAGACTCCGTATTCCTGATGATCGCCATCATACTCATCACAGAAGAACCAATAGCCAGTCATCGTGTCAAGGAATAAATACCATGACACAGCATTTGAAGAACATGGAAAACACAACATCAATCGTGTCAACCCCGCCACTTACAGTTGCAGTCATGATGCGGCCAATGCTAGAAACCAAGCAGATCAAGCAGTACTCGTGCGAATAGGGTAGCGCTACTGATGATCATGTCTCTCTGACCATGCTGTGGTCGGCGCGGACAAGATGGTGAATCATCATCATGATCGCAGTCTGGGCAGGACTGGCCCATATGTACTCGAATACACTACCATATACTGACTATCGTATATCGAAATAAAAGACACTATGCTGTTGTACTATAACATTTTATGGCTATCCGCCTCCCCAGCACAGCAACTCTGAGATCTTCCGCTTCTTCGTAGTGCCGAGGAAGCGAGGTGATCCCCAGCGGCCAACGTCGCTGACTGAGACCTTGCCAGGTGAAAACTGCTAGGGCCCTCCAGCTTGGCAAGACGGCTTAAGGGGTAGTAGGGCTTATCCGAGTTAAGGTTTTGAGAAGTCGTAGCTGCGTAGCTGCCCCCCTCGACAAACGAAGCCAGTGCATTGCCGGGAATTTCCGCGCTGGGCGGAGATGAAGCAAACAGCAACAAAGCGGAGACCGTTGGACTGACAGTTCTCTGAACTTCCAGTACAACTTCCGGACGCCGTGGGCGCATCTTGCAATCCAGGTTCTTGCAGTTTCTGGTTGTAGTCAAAGACGAAGAAGTCGTGCATGTTCCTGCCGCCCACCCTTTATCACTTCAACACATTTCAACGAAACTGAAGCAGCTTGAACAACACTGAGCTCTCGAGGACATAAGCCCTCAGAGATCTCACTGAGCAGGGTTGTACCAAACCTCAAGCCTGCAACCTTGACGAAACTATGGATGTCCGTTGGAACCCTGACATACACAGAATCGTTCACCTGAACGGCTACGAGGCAGAAACCGGCGTTGCCTACTAATGCGCAGTTTGCAGGATGGTCAGGGGCTCCTGGCAACATGGCGCGCGGAGGAAACACCCTCTGGTTCGAAGCGCACGTCATACCTCGGGCTTTCAACTTGGAATTGGCGAACTGGCCTGGGCTAATTCCTCACCGCGCCAGAAGAGGATTATAGACTTATGCCTGCGCGAGCCCCTGTTATGTTGAGACCTTGACTTATAGGCCCTCCAAACGGACGACGGCAGCTAGAAAACAAGGCAGCCCGGATCCTCAGGCCTCCACTGTAATGTCTAGCTCAAGCCCGGCACAAAGCCAAAGCGCGCAAGGGTGTGCAGAGTTCACGCCCACAGACACGGAACACTAGGCCCGGTGAGAGGGCTGCCCCTTGTGTTACCAGTCACAAGCAAGGTACTCCTGCACTCATGTTGTGCAAGGGGTGCTCAGGACAAGAACCTCTCTGAAAGCATTTAGGGAGACTGGTATGTCCCAAGTTCCAATGGAGAAAATTGCGCAAGCACGGCACTGCAGACTTCCATGCTCGTTCGGTCGCAGTCGTCGCGTCATCGAATGCCAGGAACCTGCCGTCGAGTGCAGAAGCAGTCCACTGAATTCGGGGACAAGCGTCAAGGGTTTACGCTCTCGCAACTCGGACACTGCCAGACGAGGTTCTTAATGCGGACAGTCAGACTACTGGGCTGCTCGACTCATCATGAGAAAACCGCGACAAACAGAAGTTGGTGCCACAGAGGACAAAGAGTCGAGCAAGTTCCCAGAGGGAAGGACCTCACATTGGAAGCGCACAGGCATCGGAGTCAAGTCACCGAGGAACAAAAGAACAGAAGGTAGAGCTACAGAGTACACTTCACTCCTCAAGGGCGATCGCTCGGACAGTCACCCCCTACAACCCAAATCGGCTAAGCCGAAAGGGTTTAAGGTTTAGAGTTTAGGGTTCGACAGCGTAGTCGTCGATTGCATCTGAATACTACATCCCTCTCGCCCAAACACGCTGTAGGGCCCAGTCCTGTGTTGGTCGTGTCAAGATCTTCCTCCACGAAGCCCAGACTCTGATCCCAGGCCAAGCCGGGATACCACACCTCCAGCCCTGGGAGGAAGGCTGGGTTTGGGTTGTCGTGACTTCATGCCATGACCCATCACCATGCTCACCGCCACCATGACATCTTACAGCATTGTCTTACTCTCCTAGCCATTACAAGCAACACCTTTAAGGAATAGCGAACGCTTTTGAAGGGTTGGTGTGGGTGGCTGTAGGGGTAGTGGGAAGCGTCTCACGACTAGGACACACCATGTGAGCTTGCCCGAGCCTCCATCGCAGACTCAGGATGCTACTCTGCGGGACTTGCTATGGCAAGCAGCTATACGATATTTCAGGTGCCGCCAGGCAGCAGTGTTCTACAAGACTACGGAAAGCTTGAAACGTTCTTTGTTGAGGAGGAAGGCTCTGGCGGCTTTGCTAGTCGTTACTAAACCCATTGAACAGCTACTTCTAATGGACAGCATTACACGACCAGGAATTCGGCGCTTTCAATGATCGGAAGAGCAAACTGAGATGTCTGCACGAATCCCGGTTTCGGCATGAAAATCGAAAACAGTGATCGCTTGCACTTGTTCGACGAAAATGGTTGGATGTCCAAACCCATCCCTAATACTCCAGAGTGCAGTTAAGCGAAGGATTTCAAGGCAGAACTCTAGGTTTCGATGCAACAATCGGCAGAAGCACGGAACATGGGTCATTTCCACGGAGAACCTTTGTTTGTTACCAGTTTGTTGCGAAATTTGTCACAGCTGTCACAAAGTCTCGCAAGAAGGATAATTTAAGAGAAGTTGGGAAAACTAGTATGATTTCGATACCAAAATCTGCAAATAAGGTTGCAAATAAGGTGTGCTTCATTTTCTGCAGTGTCCGATGTGCTCCAACATTGCAAAAAACTGATTTCGGCGGCGCGAGATCCTAGGTTTCGATACGAGAGCCCTAAAAAGATGAATTTAGCACATGCTCAGACAAGTACTGCTTATAAAATCGTTCCTAGCTGTCTTCCTACAGCATCTAATAATGCCACATTTTCTCAAAACTCCCTAAGCGTCACATCTACACAGAGCAACCTTCCAATTTCGGTTCGTCAGCTGCTAGCCGGCTTCCTCGCTAAGCTGCGCAGCATGTGGTCGTCTTCTCCCACCGGGAAATCGAGCTCGTTACCTCGACGGATCGGGCGTGGTCGACTGGCCCTCTTTGGTGGCTAAGGGGTTTCGATCGGGTGAGGATGCCGGAGGTCCGGGCTGTGCAGGTCCTGGACTGCATGATCCCCACTCTGCTCGAAACTACTGCAGCACTGCAATGGAGCTCTTGGTCTTCTTGGCGAATCCTGCACCACTGTCCCTCAATCCGACGAAGCAAGACCAAAGATGACCAGGTGAGAGCATTGAGGAAACAGCCACAAAGGAAAAATTATGTACACTGTTCAGAGCATCCTTTTCAGCGCGTACTGTCATGCTTTCGGCAGGCAAGACCGCAAGATAGGAAGTGCTCCACACTCCACACTAGCCATCCAGGACCGACGTACTCATGTTACCCACTCAGTGGGAACTTGGGAACATTTCTGAACGCTGTGTCCTGTTCAACATCACACGTGCAAACCCAGCAACCTGAGTAAGACTTGCAGCAATGTGGTATACATGATTGTTAGGAAACAGCACGAAAAGTTGAACCACCTGTGCGACACATCCAATAGCAGTCTTCGATGTGTTAGGGTTCCTCATCATGGGCACTTCTGTAGGGGGAGGCGACTTTCTGACTTCGCCTTTGACACGCAGTGAGCGGGTGGCGCACCAAGTGAAATGTTGGAAGAGCAGTCTGACACCGGCTACTCTGTGCAGCTTGTATCCCAGAACTTGGCCCTGCAACCGCCTTCGACTCGAAAGTACCGCAAGAGCCTACAGAGTATAGAGAAACGTCTGGAATCCAACATAGAACGAGCAAAGATGACCACGGAAGCTGTCGACTGTCGGATGACAGGTAGCCTTCGCAAAATGGATCTATTTGGCACTGTACCAAAAACCAGTGCGCAAGCCCTGCGACAAAAGCACACCCAGCGCAGCCCAGCGCAAACCAGACAGACAAATCTCTAAAGGATGATACAGAGCAAAAAGCTGCATGCTTGCGCTGGCCTGCGAGAAAAACTGAGATCCTTTGGGCTCTTGCTTCACGGCCTGTGTGGTCGAAACAATGCTACCGTAACACACCAAACCTGACAATGCAGTCAAACACTTGCCGCGATACATGCTGAGACCGGCCGTCTGACATTAAACGGTTGTGCAGCGCATTTATGAGCGCATCGGAATGAACGCCTGGCCATGAATGGAGAGCAAACTAACAACATTCCAGAGATGATTTGTGCATCACCATTCCGGATGGAAAATTCGCTCAAGCACCTACAGTGGGCATGGCGAGCAACCTGCACTTGGGGTTGCAAGGCGTAGGGTTGCAGGCTGGCAGCACATGTACCACCACCACGGAATACCAAAAAAAAGCACGGACTTGCAGTGTATGCCGGCAGAGCCTTCCTCAGTCACGTTAGGAGACCTCGGGGATGCGCACGCAAGCAACGCAAGAAACCCTAAACCTTAGGCGAAGAAGGCCTGACAAGGCTATGGAAAGACCGGCCCCGCCGGGCCGCAGCGCGAATTCCTGCACGGCTCGGAGCTCGCCTGTGCCCAAGCCTGATTCGATGCAATGCTCAGTCTTGAAACTCCACGATGTACTCTGGATACACGTGCGACTCTTCCAAGATGATGTACTCCCTGGGGCCTGAACGTTCTGGATTCGCCAACACACAGTTCTTACCCAGTTTGGCCGCTTCGCTGGTCGCATCAGGGCACGATCGCTTCTCGGTGTAGTGTACGTTGCCGCAGACTGCTCGGCAAAGTAGAACATATTTCACATTGTCAGCGGCCGTGCAATAACTGAGGCTTTTGCTCAAGTCCTCTGCGAGGTAAACCCCATGGCCGAAGCGACGGCCGTGGGTGACATTCCAGGCTGTTTGGAAACCTTTCCCGGCAATAGCTTCGGCTGCCTTCTGCGAGGTTCCGTGCCACAGAAGCGTTTCATTCAAACCCGGCGCCATATTCTCCACCGAGATGGCTTCGTCTCCGTGGAACTCTGCTAAGATGGTCGTGGTCAGTACGTGGCCGGATTCCGGGTTTCCATCTAGCTCGTTCGGAGGTGTACACTTTTGGTGACCCTTGGCCTGGAGCTGTGCGCCTAAACATCGCTTCCAGTCCATGTAACGGCACCAGAGGTATGAATCCTCCACGCGCCTTGCCCGGACTACCTTTGGCGCTGCTCTGTCCCCTCCACATGATCCGTTGGCCAAGCGCTGAATGAGCTCACGAATCATTGCCTTCACCACCCAGTGTTCTCGGAAGCCCTCTGTGTATGGATTGCGACCGACATTCTTCCAATACAGCGGCAGCTCGAGCAGGAACGGCACATCCTTCAGTGGCAACTTTGGCTCCTCACCCCGGTGAAGGCGCTCGTAGAGGACCAAATATTCTGGATAGACCTGGTCGCGATCGTAGACGACCATTTCTCGGTAAGTATTCACGGCTTTTGCGCGGTCCCCGATGGTACTGTCGCACTCCCCATTGGTGAACAAGTCAATGGCAGATGGCTCGCGATCCAAGGTGTAGTGGAAGTTGCCTAAGCACACACGGCACAAGAGCAAGCCCCTCACGCCACTGTAGTGGCCACCCGGCTCATCCAAAGCATACTCGTCGGCCTTGGTGCAGCTCTCCGAGAAGTACAAGCCCTTCCCATACATCGTGCCAGCGCCCAGGCCAGCAAAATGGAGGCTGAAATCATCCTGAGCAATCTTCAGGCCGGTTCGAACTTGCGTTCCGTGCCAAAGGTAGACCTCGTTGATGCTGTCATCGACATCACCCAGGACATCAGTCGACCGGATGGTTTTCATGGCAGCACGTGTGAAGATTTCGGGCTCCGGAGCCTTGCAGGATGACCGTGACTTCTTGATCTGGTCACGTCTATCGATGTACCGAGTGAACATCGCGGAGTCTTCCACACGGATGACTCGCTTGATCTGGTAGGCTGTAGGTAGGCCTGGATTACCACCAGGCTGCACACACAGGCATCCCCCCTTCGTCTTGGCGTGCTGTCCCGTCGGGCAAGCACGATCTTGGGTCGGTATCGGCCGGTAGGTGTGGTTTACCAGCTCCTGGATGAATTCCATTTGCTCGTGCTTCACATACATGAGCTCGGCGAAGGCCAAGTCCTCCCGAAGCGTGACTTTGCTTCCGTTGCCGCTCTCCCGGCATCCTGTCCAGTACATCGGAAGGCTCTTCGTCGCCATTTCATTCAATGGATCCACAAGCTCCTTACTGTCGGATCGCAACGTGGCTGTGCCACCCACGACCACGGCGGATGGTCCAATTGCAGATGTTGGACTTGTCTTCGCGGACTGGCGAAAACGCTTCCGCCACACCATGAAAGCTGCACTGAGCAGGAAAGCTCCGACAATGCTTCCCAATATGGCGGCTACCACAACTTCGTCCCCATCTTCCGTTTCCATGGGTTCTTCATAGGATGGTGGTGGCGTCGTGGTGGTCGTCATCACTGTGAGTGGAGGAATCCAATACACCATCGTCTGTCTCATATGATGGACCTGGAAGCGCACGTCGTACTGATTGTGGAATGTTTCCGAGAGGACATTCAAGTTCACACGCATATCTTCAAGGGTAGCAACAAGGCTTGAAAGCAGGGAAGCTTGAACAGGATCTTCCGCAACTAGAGTGATCGACACAATGGCTTCGTATGCGGTTGTGGTCAGCTGTCGCCCACTTCCAGCCCAGGATCCTCGAACATTGACCACATGCTGTGGCAGCGCCAGCATGGAAGCGAGGGACTCCCGGAGGCGCTGCTCGATCGGAGGGCGCATCTGACTTTTGGGGCAATACCACTCTGCCTGGTAGCAGCGGAAGTCGATCTGCGACTGCAGCAAGATGATCTCGCCCGGCACCACCGAGACATTCTCACGGAAGTATGGCATGGCCGGCATGTGAATGTGAGTGCCTTCCACATCAAAGGCCACGGCCCCACTTGAACGACGCTGCTGTGCGTCATATACCGCAAGATACCAACCACGAGATTCCCCGTGTTCTGAGCTGTAGCCTTGACCGAAAAGCCAGCTGCCATGCACGATGGCGCAAAGCGGCGACGAATGGTTTTCAGGAAACACAGCAGTAAACTCCAAGTCACAGCTTCTTCCAGACTGCATATTCCCATAACATTCATCGAAACTTAGCTTCTGTGACCGCTTCGTCCATTTCGTGAGATTGACGGTGTCATATGCCGCCCATCCTCCACCAGAAACAGTCATCGAGTTCGGAAATATGGGTTTGGTGCAATATGGGTCCTCAAAGAAGGTGACCCCGTAGATGGCAAACTCGTCCCTGGGGCATCGATGATCTCTGGTGTTGATGTACAGGCCCCATGGGACATCGATGGCCGGGAGATGAGAGGTCAGATAAGACTGATACCATTCTTCGAAGAACACTGGAGAAGCTCCCCAGCCATAGTTCCACTCCACACTCTGTGTATTGTCGAATTTGAACTCTGCGGTGAAATAGCATCGGTCATATTCAACCGCCCCATCAGCTAGCCGGAAGAGCACCCCCTGACAGAAGCCACAGGCATTGCAGATGCGGACGCAAGATGCCAGATCAAGGCACTCCGAAGAAATGCATCCGCCGTCCGCGCTGGGAAACTGCATCCACGGATTGCACTCAGTCCGAAGAATCCTCGCATTGCTATTCACGGCCCAGCCACAATATGTTTCTGGCCCAGTCGAGTTTGGAAGAGGCCACAAGTTCTCTTCCCCTCGGTAGCTGAGCCTGACTGCAGGCAGCTCACCACTTACAGCCCCGCGCACGCAAAGGGCGCTCACTTGCGCCTTCCATCCACTATAGACTTCTGCATCGCATACTGCCTGAGAACTCAGTGGTGTCGCGTACTTGTAGCGCTCTGGACGCAAGCTTTGTCCATTGATAGAGCCAAAGTCGTTCTCCTCAATGTCGACCTCGGTGAACTCGGTGTTGAACTGCCCCACCGTAGTATAGAGAGGGGGATACATTCTGGGCTGGAAAGATGCGTGGCCGCGACAGGTCCGATTGAATGCTTCAGCGGCCACACAGTAGCAAGACAAGGGATAGTAGCCGTCCGGGCACTCTGCCCAGAGATAACCCTCACCAAAGGCAGAAGAGGTGGAGACCGTGCTCAGGGCGTCGGGTTCCACGCAGATTGCCTCGACCATGATTGCCTCCACTGGGAGCCTCGCATCACGAAAATCATATCCAGGGTATACAGACTTGCCAGATCCCTTGGCTGTGCAGCTGGTTTCAGTGATCGTAATTCCATTACCCGAGTCTGGTGGGATGGTCTGGCACCTTAGGACTGTAGTTTGGACGCCAGATGGAGATCTCGGGCAGACGGCCGTGACCTGGCACTGATCCTCGTAGCAAGCATCGCTGTAGACCATGTACTTGGCGCCTCTGCGATGGTCACTGCGGTACGGCCCGCCATCGTGGATTTGAAAGAAAGAAGCTTCCAGCGTTCTCATCTCATAGACGCTGGTGCCGCAGAAGTTCCGGCTTTTTGTTCCGCATTGCTCCAGGAGCCAACAATCAGAATTGCAATTGAACTGTATGAAGCTGCAGGAGGGGATCTTGCGGCAGAGTGCCATGCAGCGATCGAGAGACATGGCACCGTACCATGCCGCCGTCCAGTCGAGCGAACAGTCGACTGCAGGGGTGCAAGTCCACGAAGTGTCAAGTTTTGGAATCGCATCCGGCGTAGTGTGAGGATAGCATTGTCCATTTACCGTGGTTGTGGTGGTTGTGCCCCACAGCCAGTTCTGATCACGGATGTACACGCTAGTAGTGCCGCGCCAGTTCCACATAAAACCACCACATGCTGCCAGCAGCCAGCAGTCTGTGTTGTTGTGGTGCTGCATGGTGGTGCATCCAGGAGACTGAGAGCACAAGACCTTGCAACGTTCCAAGCTCATTGGTCCCAGCTGCTTTGCATTGCTTTGCAATTGGCATTCTGCATTGGGCGTGCAGACGTACTCCCCGGAGGTAGCGATGCAGTCGCCAGGCTGAAGGCTGGTGGTTGTCGTAGTGGGTATCAGGCTGAAGTTCACTTCACAAACCCTTCGAACATTGCTGTCGTATCTATCTCTGTCGAAGTAGTTGAAGGAAAGACCATTACCATTGTAACTGTCCCTCGCGATGCAACCCTTTGGACAACAGATCGAGTTGAATGCACCGCCGTATCTCTCGCCAAGAGCTGCCGCGGCCTCTTGGCATTGGTGCTCGTCGGAAACCGCAAAGGAATGCACATGACAATGCTGAATGCCAGGATCCATGAGGAAGTATGCCCTGGTGGCGGTCGTCGTCCAACCTGCCGACCAGTTGCGATCACGGTGGTAGATGCTGCCCCAACAGTCCGAGCGGTTCGAGCGCATCTCACTTCCACAGCTGTCCAGAAGCACGCAGCCTGTGGCACAATCATATTGGACGACTGAGCATCCTCGCTTTGTGCACTGCTCCATGCATTCTGTCAGCGAGATCGCGCCAAGTCGCGTCCCGAAGTCCGCGTCTTCGCAGAAGCTGTTAGCAATGCACCTGTACTCGCCCGTCTGGTTCGTTCCATCCGGGAAGCAGGTATTCTGCTGTTCCTCGCTGCAGCCCTGGAGGAACAAAGCAAAGGCGGCAGGGAAGGCACAGGCAATGGCAGGCCTCAGCAAAGAGCACTGAATCTGTCCCACACGGCGCCACACTCTCCGGCTGGTAGTCGCTGGCCGCGCAGACATTCGCATCCAGCAGGGCGCCGGCAGCCACATGGAGGCTTCGAAACCGATTGCCGACAGCGTGGCTTGAACTGTGCCTGCATAAAGTTGTGGCCTTCACCCGACTGAAGTAGACACAAGCTACGTGTGGTTGTTATACAGCTAACATAGCTAGCAGCGCTCTGTTGCGACTTCTTGGCCAGGTTTCGAGGCTAATCTCTCGAAGGGAGAAATACGCTGGGCATGGTGAAGGGCAAGGCTGCAGCGCCCCAGTTCATCTCCCGACACACTTTCGGCCGAGCATCTGTCTGTCCTCAGTTGGAACATGACACCATAGAGCGCAAGTACGGAATCGTGGGGCCGTTCGCGGCATGCATCTGCTCAGCTCTTCATCCCATCTTGGCACATTAACTTAGTGACAAGGCGCCATCCTGAAGTGAACCAATGAGGCACGGCAGTGGTTCGCTGTTGCTGCTGCCCCACCTCGCCGGAATGTGCAATGCATCAATGGCAAGATTGCAGCTGAGCGCTGTGTCACTTCACAGCACCATGTGCGCTTGGGCACCACTACCGGTGTGGGAACATCCAAAGAAGAGGCAAGGCTGAGGAAAGGTGCTTTGTGCTTCGAACAAAAAACCGCCAGGCAAGCCCAGCTATCATGCAACGGCCAACCTGCGCCGTGATGTAGCAGGGGTTAGAGCTGTGGCTGTCGGGCAGCCCGGTGGCCCCCTGAGCTGAAATCGACGAGAACACCTTTCCTCTCACTCTCGTCTGGGCTGCCCGAGGCAGATGCATCTAGTCTGGATGCGAGATTCAGACCTATGCTGCAAGAGCTGTCAGGTGGAGCCAACTAGCACTTCGAAGGTAGTGAAGCATGCGTGGAGCCAACTAGTACCTAGAAGGTAGTGAAGCATGCACCGTCCTGTCCCGTGAAGTGAAACTGTTACACAGCAAGACTAGCACGAACAACTCTTTCGCAAGCATGCACTGCCTTCCGCCGACCCGCAACCCCCACGTCTTGCAAGCTGGCGTGGGAAAGTCAGAATCGGAGATCAGTCTTCCCACTACGCATTATGTATTTAGTCTCTGCTATCAGTAGTAGCTTTCCCTAAGGCTGCCGAGCAGGTGGCCACAGAGCTGCACGCGACCAGGCTGCGTGGATGCGGATGAAAACTCGGCCTCGAGTCGGTTCAGAGCCTCGGTCTGTTGGTGTCACGGGGCACTTCTCGGTCACATCCACAGGCTGGTGACCCGGCACTACACTTTCTCAGCTCCCTTCGTTTGTGATACTGTTTTTCATCTGCTGAAAAGGAGCTGAAGTGGTAAATCTCCTCGCTGCGGCGGTCGAGCACAGGGGTGCGCCACTCCTGTGCACTACGAAGACAGGCTTGGCGTTCAGCCGGGCACCATGAAAACCAAATACTGTATGCTATCTGGATTAGCCGTTTTTCGCTAGTGTAACAAACAAACCTGAACGGCAGCAGAAGCCTTACCCCCGCCTCAGCGCTGAGCTCAAGTCGGACCTGGCTCAAGACTGCGAGCCCGTACAGAGCGCCAGGACTTCGGGTTTAGGGCCTTTTAGGGTTTAGGAAACTGCCGCCAGCACTTGCTTGCTACTAGCTACAACCTTGCAGCTCCGAACTACTAGGGACTAACTCTTCTGTACTACTACTAGCCAGAAGCAGTATCTAGATTCGCTTGTAACAACTAGTGCCTACAGTACCACCTAGCTACTCTGTCCCACCACCACCACCACGACTGCTGCTGCTACTACTACGACTACGACGACGACGACGCACACCAGCATCACCACCACTACAACCACTACCATGACGACTACGACCAGGGCGACGACTACTGCTGCTGCACTCCTCCTTTGTTCTTCTTGTGCTACCACGATATAGACATTTCGCTACTTTCTTCCCTGGCCCGTCAGCCTCGGGAGTCATCTGCCGACCCAGCCAAGGGCGCAGAGGGCCACCGAGGCAGCTGCCAGAAGTTGCTGCCGGAAGGTGCACGGACGAAACCTCGGAATCCAAGCTTTTGTTCATTAAACTCCTGCGAGAGATGTAGTGTTGGATGCTCCACATCCAACTATCCAGCGATTGTTCCTTGCTGTCAGCTCTGAAATTCACACGACAAGATCCTGCACTCGAGCTTCTGCATTCATAGGTGCTGCTGATACGCACTCGAACTCTGGCCCGCTGCCGTTGACAGCTGCTTTCTCTTCGCGAGCGAAGTTCATGCAGGGGTGCGTCAAGTTTCGGCGAGGAGGCCGAGGAGTATCTTTATGTAACCTCAAGTCCTCCCCGCTGCTCCTTATGAGTGCGGAGCGTGTGTCTATATCTGTACATGCACCTGGAGGCTTTGCCTCTTTGGGCCATCGAGGTGACTGCCCACCAAAAGCTCGAAAGAAAAGCTCACCCCACCTCTGCAGCAATGGACCTCCTATATGCTCTACCCCAGCACATCTGGATCAGGTGGGGCGACGCTATAGGCATGCGCAAATGCTGCCTAGAAGCAGCCTCTAAACTCTAGCCCATACTGGTGTGGGCATGGATCTGACTGTAAGGCCCTGCAAGTCTGCAGTACGGCCTGCACTGACGATGCAGTGATGGAATTCAACTACGGAATTCCCGGTGATCAGCACCCTGCAACACCCGGTGTGTCGACAATCTCGGATTTCCTCGCACCACAGAGACCCACCATCCCGCTGGAGTACAAGGAGTAGTCTCGTGAGCCACATGAGATCTCTCTAGCATTGTAGCCCTTCTCAGCGAAGGGTCCAATATTCTCGGTCCGGTCGCCAAAGAAGTGCACTTTGTTCGGGGGGATAGTGACACCCTGCTGCGCGTACCAGGAGACGATGCCTTCGGCAGCCTGGGTATGCATTCATAGTATGCATACGATTGCATCTAACCGGGGTTTCCCTTGTCATGCCGCCATGGACGGCCTGCAAGACACGACAAGCTGAACCCAACCTCACGGCCTCTCCTCTGCTACACAAAATGTCACTTCGCACGCTGAAATCCAGCTGGGCAGCGTTCTGCTTCAACCGGTTCGGCCACGCCAGAACTAGAGGGGAATCCACTCTTGGATAGTCGGACCATGCGGACCTGGCGAAAAGCTTCTGGCGTCCGAGTCCCTTCTTCTTCGTTCTCTGGGCTGAGGGTGAGGTCCAGACTGCGGTTCCCACTCGCGCAAGCGGGTCTTACATGAAACTCCTAATTCATGGTGAGTCGTGGCATGCTTAGGGCAGGAGAGATTCGCAGGCCAGGCAGATCAGAATGAAACCCTGAAGCCTTCAAACAACAACTATGGACATGGCCGCACCTCAGCACTCTCACATGATGAGGTCTCTATGCCCTTGGCCCTCGGACTCACCTCATTCACTAGAATCACTATAGAAGCAGTGATGACCCAGTCAACTGCAAGACAAGGCACGCTTGGCTGTTCTCGCCTTTCATCTTGTCGAACTTCTCACTGCGTAGAACATTTTCCAGGAGAAATGGCCTCTCGGGTGAGGTATGACCTCCAGCATCCCCAGCCGAGACAACACCCAAGTAGCAGGAGTTGCAGAAAGTCTCCGGCAAGGTCTGAGCTGCCTCTGAGAGGGTGAGCCAGCCCCCACCGTAAGCGGTGTCCCAAATGCTGTTCTCCAGCTTGTTCTTGTCGCAGGTCGGACTCGTGAGGTCACCCTGCTTTCCAGTGAGAGTCCTGTCAATGTCAAAAATACACAAGCAGTCCTCTGTGGCTGGCGGCGGGGGCAAAGGTGTCGGAGTCGGTGTCGCATCGCTGCAAACGTGGACACCCTTCGTATCCACGATCTCATCCTGCGGCAGGCTTCTGGCTGGCAGATGAATTTAGAACTGAATCTAACTGTTCGGTTCGAACCCGAGCTGCTGCCGGGCCACCGTCGTTGCACCGCAATACCCGACGATGCCATTGCCAATGCCCATGTCCCGCGAACCACAGGAGATTTCCCGGGCATTGAAAGAAGTTGAGCCGAAGGGGGGGATGTTCTCCGTGCGATCGCCGAAGAAGTAGACGTCTTCGTCCGCGATTCTGATGCCCTGCTGCTCGTACCATGCCACAATGCCAGCAACTGCATCCTGCTTCTGACCATCAGGCCATCCGAGAACCTGAATCCCCAGTGTTCAAAGAAAGAGAGTAGAACAGCCCTGCCAGACGTCTGGCGACCTACGTGCAAAGTATCAAAAATCACTCTAGGCTCTAGCTCGAGCAGCCAATGGTGAATGCACCGACCTGACGGACCAGTGGGACGTCTGAGAATTGGAGGACAGCAGTGCCTGGAAGGGCTCTCCCACCAGCACATTCTCCAGCAAGTAGGTTCGCTCTCGTGAGTAGCGTCCGCTGGCCATGCCGGCTGATACTATCCCCATATAGCACTTGCTACAGAAGGTTTCCTTCAGATGCTGGCCAGCGTCAGAGATCGTCAACCAGCCGCCTCTGTAGGCAGTGTCCCAAATACCGTAAATCTCCTTGTCTGCAGGGCACTCATTGTTGGCAGTGCCCTGCTTTCCTGTTAAGGTCCGGTCAACATCGAAGACACACAGGCAAGCTGGTCCACTTCCGGGAGGCATAGTCGGAGGCTCGGGGGCATCTGCTGGGTCGTAGCAGTAGTCAAAATCGGGAACGCCTGTGCCTGAGCATCCAGGCACTGTCGTGGTACCGGACCTCTGATAGCACTTGAGCCCTGTAGCACAGTCCCCATCTTCGTCACAATCCCCAGAGCATTTCGGCATGTCTGTCGAACCTTTGTGACCGTAGCTGCTGTCCAAAGGTGGCAAGCCTTCCTCTTCGTCCTCACACTGCGGGTCGTAGCAGTAGTCCATCTGCGGCCAGGAGAGGCCCCCGCTGCATCCGGGAACGGACTCGCCATTGTCTCTCTGCTTGCACATCAACCCAGCCGCGCAGTCCTCATCTCCGTCACAATCTCCCTGGCATTGCGCCATGTTCTCACCGCCATTGGGCCCAAGACTGCTGTCAAATTGACGGGTCTGGCAGACAGAGTGGACATTGCCGTCAGGTGCGGCCGGTGCTGCGTCCGGTGTTGCGTCCGGTGCTGCGCCCGGTGCTGCGTCTGGTGCTGCCTCGGGTGAGGCTACGGCTGGCCCTCGCAGGTTGCTTCGAGCCTGCGTGGTGTTGGCCTTGCTGGGGCTCCCTCCGGGGCTGCTGGGCGTGCCGACCGTCAGCCAAGCCAACGCCAGGCCCATGAGGAGCTTCAACATCGCCATCTAGCCGTTAACGTGCCTAAGAAAAGAATACTTACGTCCACTCCAAAAGCACTGCGAGCAGAAACGGCTGCGACGTGCTGCCTGAGTGTCCTGACAAACATGTTTTCTTGAGGACCACCGCGGCAGGCAGGATCCGGAGAGTCTTAGGAAAGAAGCAGCAGGACTGACATCCGAGGGCCGAGGGGCAGTTACTCGCAGTACTCCCAGCGGCTTCGCATCTCTTACGCTGGCCGTGTCCACCAAGTCCTCATCGTCAACCATGGGGACGTGGATGACCTTGCAAAAGAGCGAAAGCCGCACTGTGCCTGAGGGACCATACTTTCGGGCGCTTTGGAAGGACTGGCAATTCGACTCTCGATGATTAAAAAACCAGATCTAGGTCCGGTGTTCTGTTCAGGCTGGGCGGCATTGGGAAGCAGCAGCTGATCATGGATGGCGGACTGCAGGAGATCTCGGATGACCTTGTTCAGAGGACCCACCTCTGCCACCTGATCAAGTCGACGAGCCCGAAACTTGTGCTGCGGTTCGACTGGGGTGCTCGAGTAGTCCTATGTGGTGCAGTCGGTGCAGTGGCGTGGAGGACTGGCCATTTGGGGGGATGGATGCTGAAATGTCGAGAGGCCCCGTCCTGTCTGTCATAGCATGTCACCCTTTCTCTTCGGCTGTGGGTTGTAGTAAACATTCACCTACTGCACATATTGAAGACTCCCCTGCTGACCACAGGCAGTCCGAATTCCAACCCATGTAGAGAGGTTGAGCTGCATCCGTGCCTGTGCAATTCCGGGCGTCATGCGGAAGTCTACCACTGGCGGATCGATGAAGTAGGCCACAATGCCTGGCAAACCCCACACCCGCCCACCTCAAACTACGAGTTTCCACGACATCCCTCAAAAACTTCCCGAGGTGAGCCGAGCAAGTGACCCCTTCGTGAAGCTTCGACAAGTCCAGACTCCCGCGCCTCCAATCAAAGGCTCCTCATTGAGCAATGGGTCAAGGCGGATAACCAGACCTCTCGCTGTCAGAGCGTAACAATTGGGCACAAGGAGGGTTTCAACTTTCAACAGGAGCCCTACCTTTCTGTGAAAAACCATGTGTTTTGCCGTCTTCATGGTCATCTTTATGAGAATCTGAAATATCGGATACTGCAGGCAATTGTTAGGTCGCAGGATGGTGTTTGGTGTGGCCTTCTGTGTGCTTGAAATGACGGCTCTTGCTGTTGCGGTTAAACAAACGGTATAACAGAAAGTAGCACCGCTCTTCCGATAGCACCCTCCAACCGAAGTCAGGTGGGGCTTGGCACGGGGGGAAGTGCCGTCTCTGGCTCATATCGACACTCCTGCAAAGGCCCTATCCTCGCTTACGCAAAAACAGATCAGACAAGCTGCAGCTTCCGAGTAACTCTAGGCATCCGGACTTACTACTGCCTTACTACTACTGCTTCTGCTGCAACGACGACGACTACTACTACTTCCGCTGCGACTATGACCAGCAACTGTGTGACCAGCACAACGACGACCAGCCGGTAGAAACATAACTACGATGATGTTGGCCATGACTACGTACTTCAACTACCTCTGCTCATTTACTATCGAAATAACACTCCTCCTCCGAGCGAGCGAGCCAGAGCAGGAGAGAGAGAGAGAGAGAGATATTGTGAGAGAGAGAGAAGGAAAGACAGAGAGAGATAGAGAGAGGCAGCGAGGGAGCGAACAGTGAGATTTCAGCGACGACGATGGTATCTACTGACCAGCCGTGCAGTACCGGCGACAAATTGCAACGGTCGTCTTGGCCAAGCTGGCCATTGAGGCTCAATACTATGACAAGGATATACTTATCATATTGGGGAGAAATATTTTTCCCCCAATATATTTAGAACTTCAACTTGCTTTCCGCATGATTGGCCTGGCATCTAAATCGCTCGAGTCCCAGGCGCTACCCTTTAGGGAGAGGTAGGAGAGGCCCGCGGTGAGACCCAGCACGGAGGCAGCAATCTCCACGTCCGACCTCGCAGACTGCGGGCTCTGAGAGCGCCTTATGGCTCGGAGTCAGGCGAGTACTACGGTTGATGATATAAATCCTGCATTACCCATAATAAGGGATATAGCATAATTCCCATAGTTTAGGGCCCTTAAGGTAATGCAGGATTTTTATCATCAACCGTAGTAGGAAACTTCATAGCGCCCTATACCCGGGACACTAAAAGCAGTCTGTAGGCTGTGTGACCATGTAGGGTCCAGATCTGCATCTACGATGCAGCTCGGTCATCGACTCATCGCCATGACCGAACTACCACATGCTCCCAGGTAAGCCTGCTCTACTAAGAGCTCCATGCGAAGTTTACGATGGTCGGGCCATTCCCATATCTGCCGGGACAAAGAAACCAGCATGTGGGGGTCTCGGTGCAGTCCCGCCGCTGGAGCTTGAAAGACACGTGGATCTCAAAGCCCTGCCGCTTTGTGTCCTGATCCCGGCACGGTGCTTCCCACACCTCCAGGCCATGCAGATCCGGAATGCCATGGCCGAAGTTAAAATGCTTGAAGTGGAAGCCTTTCCTCAGCTGCTTCGAAGCACGGTCTGTTGCGAGGCTGGGCAATGATGCCACGGCGGGGCTGTAAACATGCTACGGCACAACATTTTGTTCTACATGAATCTACGCCTTCTTACGTGGCCAGGACGCAACCTCACAAGGGACCATGGGTTCCATCAACAGTACCAAACAAAACACGAGACCCACGTGCGGCATCCAGGCATAAAGCAAAAGACTCCCTGCTACTACATGCGCTCGACGTCGGCAAAGTAGAGCATCCGTGTGTCGCGGCAAACCCACTGGAAACACTTCGGAACTGGGACAGGCATCAACAAAGCAGGTATGCCCTTACTCTCATGTTCTTGCAACTATTCGCCATGCAGCAAGAACTTTGGCAGCTCTTTGACGATTTGGGGCTGGACCTCCTCCACCATGAACCTGACTGCTGAGAGCGATCTTGAGCTGATTGCAGACATGTGCAGAACCACCTCTTAGAATCAATCCGCCGACAGCATCAGCTCCGGGTGCCCAGCTTCTCTGCGGCGACATTCACCTTGGGCCAGATCCTGGGCTTCAGCAGGACAGAAACTTCAGCTTTGGAGTGGAGACATGGTACCATGTGGAACGGGGTACAGAACATCATCGGCACACATTGGCACATCGGCCTTTGCTACTTTGACACCACAAAACCAGATGAGGAAGCTAGGGGAACAGCTAGAGCAGTTTCAAGCATGGCTTGGCAGTCACAGAGGCAGTGTCTGCTTGTCCTCATGCAGTGATATACAAGAGTATACAACCATAATCTACTATCTACAACAAACTATAGTATACTATAGTATACTATTATAGTATACTATAGTATACAATTATAGTATACTATAGTACACAATTATAGTATACAATTATAGTATACTATAACATACTCTAGGTTTCCTCAGCCGAACGGCATGCCCAAAGCCTCCTTCACCCAACGGAGATCTTCGGCCTCGTGCCGCACCAGCCGCCGCCGGGGTTTGATCTCCTCTGTCGGGGACGACGGAGTGACTGAGCTTGGAGGAAACCTGTAGTATATTATGGTACATTCTAGTATACTATGGTATACTATAGTACAAGTAGATAGTACATTATAGCTTACTATAGAGGAAATATGAACAGTTCCGGCTACTTCTCGAGTCAGAGCTTTGCCAAGCTCCGTCATCAGGACGACCACCTGGTGGCAGGTTCAGATCAGTGTCGGGTGCGATACTCTCTTTTTGACCGAGAAAGCCATTGTCCACAGGACTCTTCTAAAGCATGATTGGAGCCTAGCAGAGACCCTTGTCTTCGACAAAGGGCGTCAACGAGACTCGGTGCAGGTTCAAAACTAACTAGGCAACTATGTGTGCATGTAGGTGCTTCGAAGCTATAGGGAGATTCACAATAGGCCGGTGTGGTGCAAACGATCCTGGATGCACTGGCGGAGGCGGTCTGCATCGTCCTTTTTGAAGCTTCCGCCGTGGTGGAAGATCCACTCCTGCAAACCGCCAGGATAGGATTTGAAGGAAACCACACAGTTCGTGCTCAGGACTCCAGCCACCCAGGAGAAACTGCTGGGAGCCTGGACAAGAACGTCTGCCTGGGCCATGTGGGCCAGGTCACCGAGTTCGTCACCGTTCAAGTGAACTGTCATACCGGCTTTTTCGAAAGCTTCGAAGTCGCTGCTGGCGTGCTTTCCCTCTTTAGTGGTGCTGAAGATGTGGATCTCCGCCATGTTCCGAGCCATCTTGCGAATGGCCTCTACCACCTGGAGGTACACGGTGTTAGGAATGTCACGATTCGTTTGTCTTGAGACGTCGATGTCGCCTCGGCGGATATGGACGGCCACGCGAATCCTCTTCTCGTGACCAAAGTACGGCGTTGGGTGGCTGAGTAGCTGCGTGTGCTGCCTCAACTTTGTCAGGAAAGTTGGTGTCAAGAAGCGGACAATATCCTTCCCAAATCCGCATTCCTGAAACAAAATCTTCTGGCCGACGGGCTGATGGCCTTCCTCGAAGGTTGAGAGCAGAACGTGGCTCCCGAAGAAACACGTGTCAAAATTGGCATGCCTCACCTGCTTACGGAGGGATGTATAATCGCTCCCCACAACTGCACTCAAACATGCGTGGACGTCTGCACCATGAACTTCTGTAGAAGGGTGCGGAAGTAGCCCACCGAAATTCACTCCCAAGTGGCTTGCGAGCGCCATCATGACAATAAGGTGAGCAGCCCGTTGGCCCATGCCGTCGAAGCGCTCAATGCTGTACAAGGAAGCAGAGGCACCGGGTGTGCTGCACAAAGGGCAGTCTGCAGGGCTTAGGTCCACATCAGGCATGGCCTTGGACATCTTCTTCATCCCTGGGGTGGGCCCGTTGTGCATCGTGCCGAGTGTGTTCTGGCAGCTCACTTGGGGTACCGGAGGACAGCCCAGGCCACTGCCAAGCTGCAGCAGGGACTGGTCGGACTGGTCCTCACAAACCTCTGTCGCCGCGACCTGAGCCTGAGCCTCTGCGACTTGTTTTAGCCAGGGCAAAGCAAGCGCAAGCACCAGGTAACTCTGGCTGCGACAGGAGGCCATGGCTGCAGCTCTCACTGACTTCGCTATCAGAGACCTGAGCCGGGCCGGCAGCGACTAGCAATGTCGGGAGCGCTTCATGCAAAACTGCGCTCTACTCCTGAGTTGACCTGACATCTACGGTCTAACATCTCATTTCTCTTCCGTCCTTGATTCCGACGACTGTAAGGCCCCCTATAGCTGTGTACCGATGTACAGGTATGCATGTCTTCAGAGACAAACTGAGAGTCTGAGTATCTGTATACACACACTCGTGCAAATGTGCGAACACACGAACGTCCCCATCTGATCTGTGCGCTCAAGCATGTGTCGTGGACTTCAAGGCTTGCTCCTTGGGCATACTTTCCTTCGAGACGTCATCCAAGTTGATGTTGGTTCGCGACTCCAACATCCTGGCACCAACTCCGGACAAACTAGCAGCAGCATGCTCTGCAGATTTGGCCCAATACTCGAAACATCTGATAGGTCCTGAACACCCGACCCGACCCAATGAGTAGCCCAAGCCGTTTATGAGAGCTCAACAATCAAGGTTGTGGTGAGTGGTGCCGTGGTAGTCCAGGGGCATGGCTGACATATTTAGAGCTGCAGACTCTGTGTCGTTATTCATTACTTAGCAGACTTAGCTGCTGTATGTCCCGTGGTTCAGGTTGCCCAGCACAGCACTTCTGCGTTGCCTTTAATGTTATGCGGGGTTGCAGGGCTGGATCTGTGCGGGCGTCGTGTCAGCTCACCATCAGGCAGGGATCAATGCCCTGCCACATGTGCCCGCCTGAGCATGCTGGCAAGCTTCTTCGGTGAGCCTCCAGGACATTGAGAATTGGTTCTGGGCTCCTCTAGCTTCTGCACAACTACACTTGGTCGGCTAGGCTGTGCAGCAATGCTGCGGCAGTGCAGCCTAGCTGCTGTGGGTCTCCTGTGGGGAGACTTGTCTGTGGAACGTCTGGGCTATAAAGTCACCCGAGGGCGTTCGTGAGCGAACAAGAGGGGCTGGCGCCAAGCCTTAGCACGGCGACTCGCGGAACTCTGAGTGTTCAGTGGGAGGACTCAGGAGGGTAAGGGCTTAGGATCCATTCTGCAAATCAAACCGATGAAAGAAAAAGCAGGCAAGACTCCCACATGACTCAGGTGATGCAGGTAAGCAATGGAAACCATACGAAACCTACGTTGGCCTTGTGGTGCCCAGCAGCTCAGGCCAAGATCAGGCTCGGGATGTGGCTCTCCCCCGTCCGATGCAGAGCATGCCCTGGCTAGCCTTCAGGTGCTTTGATGACAAGCCTAGCGCAAAGCCTGATGCTCCCGTGTCTCCTATGCACGTACGTAGGTCTACTAAAGCTATACCGCCCATATCTTGTCTAAGCAATCTCTCCATCTATCTGTCTGTCTGCCTGTCTCTGCATGTCTGTCTATCAGTCGATGTATCTAACAAATTGCCGGCCTATCAACCCATCATCTGTTTTAATCCATGCATCCATCCATCCATCCGTCCTCATGATTATGCGTGCAGGTATACGCTCTCACGACTCGGACACAGCCAGGCGAGGCTCTTGGGTGCACTGTCGGTGTGATATGTTGCAAACGGGATTCTCACTTTTGCCAGTTCACCACGCGGGTTAAAACCAAAGAGGACATTTACACGAGGACATTCACTTCCGAGAATCCAACTCGTGGTTGTGAAGGTTTCCTGGTCCATGAGTTTGTACTTGATAAAAGGAACAAGCTGAACATGCATACCCATAAGGCTAGACTACAAACAAGTCTGTTAGGTATGAGTGTTTGTGTTTGCTTCACTATATAGTGACTAATGCGCTTGTGTTCTTTTCTGGTCTCACCGGAGAAGCTCCGGCAGGGTCTTCTGCGCTGGGGCTTCGTTTTCTCACTCACAGCTGGTCGAAACTCTTGCAGGCGGCATGGACATGGCTTTCCGAAGTCGGAAGAAGGCTGACCAAGTACCACTCCGAGGCGCTCGGCTTTCTTCAGCCGCTCTTCGACGAGCTCGATGTTCGCGTCTCGCCTGGATGCACTTTGGGACCGAGCCAGGCCTCACCTACCGCCTGATTCACACCTGCTCCGGAGCCTACTGCACAAGCCTTGGGCCGAGGCCCACAGCCACTGGAACCACAGACATGCAAATGGCAAAATGAATGCCCAGGCACCGCTCCGGGCATTCGCAGAAGCAGGAATTGCTCCTGACTTGAGGGGCGACGTCTGGTTAAGTCCAAAGGCCTGCTACACCCACGAGCTCTATGAAGCATGAGACTCCACATTGCTGACAGCCGCAGTTGGAGTCCCTCGAAAACAAAAAGGAGCCTGCGACGTAGATCTTGGCACTACAACCTTTTGAAGATCACACCGTCGGTAGCCAAGGCGAGCCGAGCTTCCCAAACTGAAAACCGAGGCATGGATGCATTGCATCCAGCCACAGTCGGCTTCGACCGACCCTAGGCCCTTGAGCCGATACTGTGGAGGGCATCTTCCATGAGGGCTCATTGCGCCGCAGGACAAGCAACAGATGACCCCAGGGGGCAAACTTAAATTCAAATGGGCTCAGTCGATGCAGAAGTGCTCTGAGCTGCACAGTTCCACTCAGTCGAGGCTTCGGTGCGCGTCCGGGCTCCAGGCGGGCAAGTGCTTCTTTTGGGATTCCGACCACCACTGGAGCTTGGCCGTGAGCTGGACCCACGCAGGTCGCTCACCTCTAGGCCCAGCACATGGGGGTGGATGAACACCGGGGCCTTTTTTACCAGTAAGAAATGCTGTGGACATGGTGATGCGGCAAGATTGATTGATAAGTGCCCGTATCACCTGCAGTGCCCGTGCCTCCTTCATCACAACAGGATACCCCGTGGCATTGTTGTTTCCAATGCTGTGTGCTACTAAGCTGTGTCACACCCACCAGGCTATGGATGACCAAATCCGCCCACTGTCGCTCAAATCTAAAACTACGGCCCCCCGCAACCTCAAACCCAAAGCTCACCAACCTCAACCTAAAGCCTACAGTCTAACCCTGTGAAGCCGATACCTAGCAGGGGGGCTCAAATCAAAGCCCATACAAGCTGAATTGCGCGTATCTTGGTGCGACTGTGTAAAACATGCGCTCACATGCGCAACACTAGAATGCGATAACTCTCATCACACGAGCTTGCATGCGTAGGGTTGCGATGATACTCGAGGTATCGAAATAGATTATAAGTACAAGGTTTATATATACATATGTATATATGCTTTTTCGGCCACTGCACTTCTATATTAGTACGCTCATATACTACCGTCTACAGGTGGGACTCCGAAGCCCGTTTTGCATTTGGTCTCCACTGATTCTCATCGGGGTGCCTTTGCCCTTAACCCTAAACTCTTCTTTTAAACCCTAAACCCCTCATCCAGGCCTAAACCCAAAACCCACCCCTTTTTTGCAACTGGCTTGCAACGTTTGCTGCCCTAAACCCTTTTTGAATCCGGGCTTGGGAAGTCGGCCGGGGAAAGTGACAGGCCGCGCTTTGCACAGGGTGCCACGCCAAATAAATTGATAGTAGACTAGAGAACTCACCGTGATGTATCCCGAGTGACTGAAGAATTAAGTCGTTGCAAAATCTTACAAACCCTAAGCCGGCGCAGGGAGCCCGCACCGCCAGCAGAGGCAGTCCCCGAAGCCACGCCTCAAAGTGCAAGTTGGCGAGTGTAGCAAGGAGAACCCTCTTGGTGGCTATACAGATATTCATACACCTGCGGATCGGATCCACTTTAACTCTCGCAGCTAGGAGATGTCTCGAAGATGTTCCGACTTGGTACACTTCTTGTTGCCTCGTCATCGTTTCGCAGTGGCCGTGCAGGCTTCTCCGGTGAGGGCCAGTTGTCAGGACGGAACCTCCCTGCTGGTGACTGCTGGTGTGGCGTCATGGTTGGCTTTTGCAAATCTTAGCTTGGATGGCGAGCTATGGACGCATTGGAGGCCTGGGAGCTGCAAACCGACTTCACAAGCCTCGCTGGGTTTTGAGATGTGCCCAGATCGGGACCGATCGCCTTAGATTTCGACGACTTCGCTGAAGTACTGTGCTGTTGTGTCCAGCACTGGCTTTTTTGCAATCCCTTATAGGAGGCCCTCGCTGATGCCAGACCATTCAAGCAGAAGGATGCTTTGATACCAGTAGTGTCCTTCAAGGAAAAGCGGAACCCTGCGTCCGATTGCCCGGCGATGCACCTGACTTGTCTTTGATGATTTTGCCTCAGCATATTTCAAGCCCCACAACCCACCCCAGGCAGACTTTCTCACCGAAAGGAAGCGAAGAATTCGCGGAATAAGAGAGGACTCAGAGGAGGCATCCCTTCATGGCACTTCGAGTCTTGGCTTCGGGCTCCCACTGCTCTTTGAGCTCTTCTCCTCTGGCATTGCCTGGCTTAGAGGCTGCTCTAGAGAAGCAACTCCGGTCGAATACGGCATGCTTGAGGGGTTCGCACCTGGATGCGGCACCTGATGGCACAAAAGCCACGTGGTCGTGAGAGGTAAAAGCTCACTTGGATGGCTGGCAAAAACCTGAATCTCCTGAACCTCGAACCGTCCATGCACCTCAAGTGAAGCCAACTAAGCAGATCCCATTTTCGAGACAAAGATTTTGGCTGTGCTTTGTCAACCCCACCAAATCAAGAAAGCATGGCAGCAAGGACCCCGAACAAAAATCACACTTCACTTCTGAGTCAGTCGACAATCACAATCACAGCTTTACAAGAGCTGACAAAGAATCATTGAATTATCGTATTTGGTCATAAGCATATGTATATATGTGCACATACACCCCATATTGTTACTATATAAACTTACATACAACCTGTAATCCAAAAGGCCCTGAGGCCACAACCTTGGAGCTCACCAAGCGCCACTGGGAGCCATCCCCGGGGGCTGATCTCTGCGTGTGACTGTGGCTGGGCTCTTGGGGATTGGGCTGGTCTCTTCTCTCTATTGCGCTATACTGACTATACTTGTATTACTGGGACTACAAGGGGAAAATATCAATATGACTAATGAGTTAGACCTCCACATCTTCAGTTTCTTCTTGGGGAAGGTTGGGGAGCTTAGGGCGGGTACGTAAAGGGTGGAGATCTGATGGCTTGGAGTTGTGCACTGGGCTTGGTTGGCTTCAGTGCTGGGTGATGTCTGCATGTCCCCAGACCACCCGGGGATGCTCAAACGAATGCACTTGGCGGCAGAGTACATGAAGAAAGTCTTGCACCCGACCTTCGCTGATTACTACCAGGTCTCTGCCAGAAGACATGATCACGAAAGCCTTGGCGACATGACGCCAAAGCAGAGCATCATGCCAAGATCCTTTTCTCCTTCAGCCGCCGCTTTTTCCTCATGCCAACGATCGGCGCAGCACCTACACCCTACCTCAACCGCCTCACGATCCCAGGCCAAGTGTACTGATCCAGCGCACGGCTCCAGAACCCTGCGATGGAAGCTCTTCAAGCTGAACAAGCAGTGTTGGAGGCTTTGGCAGTCTCTAACCGAGCCTGCACCACTTCCTCGCCTGACTCCTGGTGTTGGTCCAAAACAGCCCCGATGTCCGCATGCTAAAAGCAAATCTAGCCTCACGCAGTTGCACTAGCTGCGAATTAGCATGACACATATCGGCACCCTGGCAAGCTTGGGGATCCGTTCCATTCAGCCTGTAACTGCTCGTGCAGAGGTCATGCTTGCATCTGTTTGGCTCGCTCCTTGCCCACGTGTCGCTCTGGCACTGTCATTTGCAATGAGTGTTTTGGCAACCTCCAGTCACCAGCCCCCAAAGGCCGCCCAACGCCCAACACCCCTGGATTCTTTACTCTTGAATCACATCTCTTCCAAGCGTACCATTTGGACCCCACAGATGTGCACCAAGTGTCAGCCTTCAGCCTTCCATTCCCAAAAAACGATGAAGAAACTTACCATGCAGTGCCGATCCTTCTTGAGCTTCTCGCGAGTGCCAGCATCTGGACCTCCAGGGATGTGGCAGATGCTTGTGAGTCCTTGAACCAAAGCCTTCATACAATCAGCACAGCAATTGCCACGTATTATTGCTACTACGTCCATGAATAAGACGAAAACAATACGACTAGTGTTTAAGCCGACCTTGGCCTACTTCTTCGGCGCCGGGACTGACTCATTGTATCTCGCCCGCAGACCGAGTACTACTTTGGCATAGTTTATGCTTTGTCGTGTTTGCCGAACTTGGGAATATGACAGAAACGACGATTGCCATTCGTTCTGAGTACAAGTATTATGTGAAATTTCTTGTGCGGCAAGAAAACAACGGCACGAACATGCATAGTATAGGCCAGTAGAGGCATACTTCTGCAAACAAACTTCCCAAATAGTCGGGAAAAACGGACCCCTTTCCCCAAGAGACAGATAGATTACCCACTAGGATCCAAAACAACTATCTCAATGGTTGGTCAGTTGTTGCCAGTCTTTCTGCCGACCCCACAGGTAGAATATGACTGGACCCTGCTTAGCTGCCCGGCAGGGCATATTTTGACCAGAGGGCGGGAAGCCACCCGACTCCCCCCCGTTCCTGTGGCCGCAAAGAGTAAGATGTCCACTTCGGGATCACTGAATTATTGAGAACTATCAAGTAAATTTCGTACGTGTAGTATGTTGCTGTTGGGACGACGAGTCTTGGCATTACATAGAGCATTGTCGAACTGAAACCGTATTCGCCTAAGGTGCGTGCTCAAAAGCCTTCGCACTCCTTTGCATGACCATCGTGATTGTTACAGCGACTTTTGATTTCAACCCGTAGCCTGTATGTAGAATTCAGGATGTCTGATGTATGTTGCCATTGCTGCGTCTGCTGCTGCAGCTGATGTTCGTCTGGTCATGTCGACGGCTGCAACCGCAGATCAACCCTTCGGAAGCATCTGGTCATCCTTGCATAGAGACATTGCTGCGACGTGTCACCACTCCGGCCTGCAGCATCCTCTTTTACCAGAATAAACAAGGATCCATCGCCCCCTCGGGTGATTCGAAGAAAGTCGTCCAAGTAAGTGATGTCCTTTGTTTTGGAAGGGACCATGGACAACAGCTACATGAGAAACCCCAGATGTAAATAACCCAAAAGCCGAAGCTTTAGGTCGCATGCTATCCTTGCATGAGTGCCAAGGAGCGGCCATCTTCGACGATCAGCAAACAGCAGACAGGCATGTATTGAACACCTTTTGACCTCTCGATTCATCTCCAGCCAGTCTGGCAGGTTAACCGCTTTCCTCAGGAACGCCTACAAATGGGAAACACATGCCGCGCCATGCGGCGACTTGCTGCATAATCTGATAATTAAAGCTCCTACATCAACAGTATCGACCACAATGTAGACTTATAGGATCTTATAGGGGTGGGTCGCCACATGTCACGTGCTAGCCTCCGGCTCCAAAAGAGCACACAGGGGCTAGAAATTGGCGCGGTGCCATAAAACAGAAATCGATTGCGTCGGCAATCTGTCTATGCATCTTCAAATGACTAGCTCCTCGATGGCTGGCACCGTGATCTCGAAACGCTGCTCATCGTCGACCTGGGGGCATGTACTGTTCAGCAATCGATGCGTTATCGCGTTCCGTCGTATCAAACTGGCTAGACGCTGGGCTGGGATTTTGAACCTGGCATCGGTGAGTCTAAGGTATGCGAGTAATGCTCTCGATGAGGGTCCCTCTTTGGATCACCAACCAGAATACGTCAACTTGATAATCAGGACCCGGAACCCATGTGATGCGCAGCCTTGGGTCGAAAGAAGCGTCAGGTGCCCCATGAACCCCTGAGCAAACTGCATCAAAGAGGCCTCCCCGCGAGAGAAGATGAGAGCGTGCTTTCCCGGGTACAGCTTTTGCTCGCCATCCTCGACTTCCCGAGCTCTACAAATTCTCCACATGGAAGAATCGGACAATCATGATATATGAAGAACCAGCCCCTCGGCAACCCTGGCAAAAAGATCCTCGCAACAGGCCTTGTTGACCACCTCCAGGATGGACGTTGGGAGGTCAAAGGAGACTGTTGCAGCTTCCCCAGCTGGCACATGCAACCGCTGGAAGTCTCGGAGAGCACGCTTGGGAAGCGGGTGATCCACCTTGCCGATGTCCACTGTCGTGTGGTACACCTGAATAACCTCATCACCACAAAGTTTCCCCATGTTGCTTACCTTGCACTCGAAAGCCAGCTTCCCGTTTGGCGCCTTCTTCTGTGCGCACTGCAGCTTGAAGGTTGTAAGGGACAGGCCATACCCAAAGGAGAAGAGGGGCTGGCCCTGGTAGTACTTATACGTGCGTCCTGGCGCCTTTGACATGTCGTAATTCGTCATAGGCTGTTCAGAGATGTACTGGTGTGGATACATTGTGACCGGCAGCTTGCCCCAGCGGTTCTCCTTGCCAAAGAAGGTTGCGCCCAGAGCCTGCGAGCCTTTGTGGCTCGGGAAGAAACCCTGCACAATGGCATAGGGAGCCGCCGTTCGGCTCATGAGGGAATCAATGGCCATGGGCCCACCACTGACAAGGACCAGGATGGTCGGCTTGTTCAATGCCAGGACCTTGTGAGCAAAGCTCTCTTGCAAACCTGGCAGTGCCGTGTCAATGCGGTCCTTCCCCTCGGTCTCGATCGTCCTGTCATCCCCAAGGGCCAAAACCACCACATCTGCGTTGCGAGCTGCTTCGAGGGCGGCTGGGATACCGTCATCCTTTGTGCTGTTAATCTCCACGCCCATGCTGGAAACCGTGCGTCCTCTAGCGTTGGCCATGCTCAAGCCCTCAGTGATAGTCGGGACGCAGGCATCCGTACCGTCGAAGCAGTGGCTGCCGGCAGCATAGTCTGAGAATAACTGACTTCGGCTCATCGAATGGGGTCCCACTACCGCCACAGAGCTTCCCTGGCGAATGGGAAGGACCGGTCCATCGTTCTTCAGTAGAACGAAACTCTGCAGAGCCGCTTCGTAGGATATCTGTTGGTGCAGCGAGCTGTTGATGTCCTGAAGTCCGTACCTTGTCTGCCGAGGGGAATTGATAACATGGCCTCCTCTATGAGGCAAGTTGACACGGAGTTGAGTTAGTTGCAGAACATCGTGGCAAACAGCTTGCTTGCATTGCTGCACCACTCATAGAAGCGAAGGGGCCGATGAAATTCCGTGCTGTTTGCCGGATCAAATCTTCCAACTTCGAACTGCACTTGGAAGGACCGCCGAACTGCCTGACAACAGATGAGCTCGTCGTGTTCAAAATCTTCAGTCCAGATTCGCTGTGATATGCAGCGGCAAAATTGGACCGAAATGCTACCAGTTCTAGCAGCCCTCCAATGTACCTAGATAACGATGGCAGTAGAGTCTAAGGGTGTTTGTCTCAGGCCTTTCTGCGCCACACGGCATCTGCACCCGCAAACAAACATACAAAAACCTTCGAGGTAAGGACCTGGGTTCGCTTCCTGCCGTTTCATGTGTGCCTCTGTCAACCGCGCTTCGGTTGCCAGGCCCATGTCGATGGCCTGGGACAGGTTCGAGAAGAGGGTGTCGCCCATCCTCGGAGGGCACTGTGCAGATTCTACACACCAAAAGCAGCACCCAGAGCAAGCACGACAGAACCACGACCATGATGATTCGGACTGAGCATGTTCGACTCCATCCAGTCCCCATACCGCGGCTCAGGTGCAAACTCCCAAAGTTGCCCGAGAAATACGCAATATTGACCACTGGTCACTATTCGTACCGTCCCGGAATGCGACCTAACAAGAATGTGTATACTCATCTATCATTATATTTGTATGAATTTTCAGAGTGTAGATATAGATACAATAGACAATGACATAGATATGCCTTAACCTATCCTGAACCTACCAAGACCTACTTTTCTGTAACTCCCTAAAATGTCTTGCTTAGGTTCTAGATTAAGATCCTACAAAAAAGGAGGCTATGGGAGGTCAAGGCAGATATAGGTGTAAATAACTTGAAGTATGAATACTGACCCAGCATCTCGAGGTCAGTTCCGTTCATCAGTGCCATCGCGGCGGCGTGAGCATCATCCGGTGCATTCACTGGGGGACCCTTCCTTACAAAGCAGGCCACCGGCTTTCAAGCAAAATGCTAAGCCCGCACAAACAGCATCCCAAGCATCTGCGAGGATCCAGTTGGGCCATCGATTCTGGTTACTCTTGGCCCGCGTCAAGCAATCGCTCTTTGATGCCGGAAACCGCTACATGACTTTCTTTTCAGGTAGTCCTTTGTTGGTGCCGTTTCATGACGGAGACTTACACCCTTTTGTGCCCAAACCTCTAGCCTAATCCGAAAACCCCATGAAAGAACGTAATCATTGACTCTGAGGCTCAGATTGTTCACTGCACCGCAGTCCGTAGTCACATGGGCATCCTGAGCAGCTTCTCGACCAAAACAGCGATGTCTTGGTTGTAGTGTCGGCTCAAGAAAGGCGATCCGAAATGCAATCTAATTACATGGCAGGTGTCATTTTTGTTGCAGGAACACTAGGGAATTGTATTGGTAGTTTTTGCGGCCCGAATGTTGTGCGGCTTAGACTTTGCTTCCTTAGTGGTTAAGGTTCGTGCTGTGCTGCGCATGGTCAAAAACAGTTGATGTACATGGAGCTTGTGATTCATAGCATGCATGTTGAAGTGAAGCCTTGCTTACTGGACTTCGTGCAGGCCACCTTTGCGTGTTGCAGGCTGCATCAAGGATCATCGGCTGGAGGGCTATGAAGGACTTCCATGGCCCCGCCAACTGGAATGCATTTTGCATGGCTCAGCGTTGACCCGCCGTCTTGCAGCAAAGCGGCTGGCTTCCAGCTTCGCAGCTGTTTGTTGAGGATGAAGTCGTTGGCGCAGGAAGGGCGCCCATTCTCGGCATTGTAGGAGCACATCACGCCTCCACAGACCGACAGATTCCCAGGGCAGGGCTCCGAGAGCTTCGGTGTTTTCCACGGTCCCACGGCCTGCTGGCTGTGCAGTGAAGGCCAGCTTGTACTGAGCGAGATAGGTGTCGAAGAAATCGAAAGTAGAAATGTTGTACCTGCCAGGAGGAGGCCGCTTTTGTCCCTGTCCGGCTATCGGAGTTTCACTTGGCCGAGATGTACCAGCTGACGGCCTTCTCTCTCTTTGATTACCCTTTCGCGTCTTCTCCGAAGCCTTACGGGGCGAATCTGGATTTGCGTCTTTGTCTCGGTCTTTCTGGGGCATGCCCTCCAGTTCTCAAGACGATCGTTATGGCTACCCCATCTTTCACATCATACATGTATCTGTATACACACACACGCACACAACGTCATTCTTGGGGAGTTGTCACAAGTGCACACTTGCCGCCCGAACACGTATCGTGACCTCGGTTCGCTTCGGTGGAATAGGCGGTGTAGTGCTTCCTGCAGTTCAGAAACACGCAAACACGATAGTTTCGGCGCTCAGGACGACTTTCCCACGACACACTGAAGAGTGGGTTTTTGAGGTACCACAGAGGGTAGTTGGGAGCCTGGAAACCGCTAACGGCCCCTCACAGTCACCCTGAAAGTATAGCACACAAACTAAAAGGAGTGGGCACTTGAGGTACCACAGAGGGTAGTTGGGAGTCCGGAAATCGCTAAAGGCCCTCAACTGTCACCCCGAAATCAAAGCACACAAACTAAAGCCCGTTTGGACCTCAAGCAACCCTGAACCTTTTTCGGAGCTTCAAGGCCAGGCAGCAGATAGGCTGCGATCTTCTTGTGGCCGGCAGCATCTTTCTCCTGCATCCCCTTCACCATGTTCATGGCGTAGGTCCCACCTTGCACGTGGCAGGAGATGATTGGACAAAGGCTGTTGGGCAACCCAGACACTGGTTGCAAAACCAAAGGTTTTTGCATCAAGGCCTGCGGCCTACGGCTTAAGCTCCTATTCTGGTCCCAGCGCGGGAGGTCGGTGTGTATTCGGACCTACGGTTTGAACTTTAACAACTCGAGAAGGCCGGAACTGTCTTAGGCTCCGAAGGTTTGCCACAATCACGTGGACCATCGCCGTGCCCTTACAGAACGCAAGGGCAGGCTCGGC